TCCATCCGTCAGTCCGTCCATTCGTCCCATGAATATTTTTCATCGCATCTTTCTCAGGAACTACATCATAAGGATTTCTGAAATTTGGTTTCAGGGTTTATATAAGTCAGCTATACTGTGTGATGCGTTTTCAGATTCATCACTCAACAACTTCCTGTTTACCAAAATATTTGGGCAGGGGTATCATCAGTGAGCAGTTGCTCGCAGTTTCACTTGTTTATACTATAAATGTATGGAAATAAGTAATGGCAAACATTTTCTGCAAATACAGGACCACCAAATTTTCACTGGGACCACCAGATGTGTAGTCTTGGTGGTCCTAATGACTAAGCTCGGCTTAAAAAGATTTTAAAAACTCTTGTCATGTAAATAGAGTCAGCATCAGTCCTTTTCTCACTTAGAGAGTTCACTGCATGTTGTCAGTTGAATCTGTGTAGAATACTTTTCACTTTGTACCTTTGATGACTTTGAATCTGCTGATAAAAAAAAAGATATCGGTATTGAAATTATAGCTTGTTAATACAATATGCAAAATTGAAATGATCTCTTTCTTCAAGCTACATGTTACTGCAGAGAAATGTAATAACAACTTCACACTGTCTTTTAAGTTTCATAAAATTATGCATTGTCGTGATTGTGATTATGAAGTATATGCATTGATCATGTTGATCTGAATAATTTGTATTTCAAAGGGGATCTGAAATGCTACAGAGATAAAAAGAGTTGAAGAAAATTACTAGTTTATGAAAAAATAGAAAATGTACTCATGACTTTTTATTTATGTGGGAAAGTTAGTTTCTTTGTTGACTTCTCAGATTATAGGACACACACACACATGATTGGGTAAAAACAACATATTAAGAGTGAAGAAAGCCAGATTCAGGGCCTGAGGCCCAACATCAAACTAGATATCATTGTAAAGGTCGTTTATTGGAATGTTGTTATGATTAAATGTGTTGATAAACTTTATGTGAATTAATATCTCCAAAAAAGAACATGAATTATGTTAATTTCTTTTTTTTCCTTAAATTTGTGAAAATATTATTTAATTAAATTGAAATTTCAGTCCAAAGTTTTTCACATGGCAGGCAAAATGTGTCGTTACGTAATGATTATTACATGGTTTATTTAGCAAATTCTTTTCTCTACAATGATTTAATAGTTTTTGTTCACCTATAGAACATTTGTGACATAATAAATAAAGACTAAAACCTTTTATCATGTGTATTGATTTTGTCTATGGAGTTGAAAAAAAGAAAGAAATCTATTTTATGTTTTTATACTAATAGCTCTCATATCATTAAGAAATTTTAACATGTTTAAGGAGGTGATTAATTATTATAGGAATAATTTACGTTAAGGGTCAAGAATTAAGTATTTTATGTTTTCTATACAAGACAAAATCATCAGAAAACAGTTGATTTTTGCCTCATGGGCCAAATAGCTCCGACTGTAAGCTTAATTCAACTTCTTTTAGTAGCTCTTTCTTAACGAGTACCACAATGTCTTACCACAGAGTAGGTAACCTGTTGAAAAATTATATGCTAGAGTCAAAAGCCAGTAATAAGAAAATAGTTTATTGAGGTCTGAATGCTTACAATGCTAGACTATGTTAATAGAAAATGAATTGGAATTATTTTTGCAGGCTCCAAGATCAAAAGGCAAGGTTTCGAAGACAAAATTTTTTAACAATAAAAGATTAAACATAAATATGAATCATAATAACATGATGGCACTTGAAAAATGAAAACCATATCAGGACCCAGTTGTTTAAAGTATATTAGTTCTTAATATAACTGGTAAAATCTGATAGAATTATCTAAGGAAATTTCTTAGCCAATTTATCCTTTTCCTGACCTGTTGATTATTGTCCCCCACATAACGCGTTGTGGGGGACATGGAAATACCAGATGTCCCACGTAATGCGTGTCCGGTCTTGTTAGCACTCTCACAGGTACAATTCTTGCCATATTTTTATAAAACTTATACTATAGGTTAATATCAGCAATATCTCAGACAAGTATTACAATGGTGGCCGATCGACTTCTTTTAAAAGAGTTATGCCCCTTGGAAATATTAGATTTATGGAAAATGGCCTCGTTAGAGCTCTCACGGGTACAATTCTTGTCAGATTTTTATAAAATTTATACAATAGGTTAATATCACAAATATCTCAGAAAAATTTTATAATGGTGGCTGATGGACTTTTTATGCCCCGGCCATAGCTGAGGGGGCATTAAGTTTTACCCGTATGTCCCAAAATTGGTTTCCGTTCTCTAACTTGAGTTTGCCTCAACCAAATGTTATGAAACTTATACACAATGCTAATTACCACAAAACACAGATCAAGTTTGAATTTTGGTGGCGTCACTTTAACTGTTCTAGAGTTATGCCCCTTTATAAATAGAAAAATTGCAGTGTTTTTAGTTTCCGTTCTCTAACTTAAGTTTGCCTCAACCAAATGTTATGAAACTTACACACAATGCTTATTACCACAAAATACAGATCAAGTTTGAATTTTGGTAGGGTCACTTTTACTGTTCTAGAGTTATGCCCCTTTATAAATGGAAAAATTACAAAATTTTTAGTTTCCGTTCTCTAACTTAAGTTTGCCTCAACCAAATGTTATGAAACTTATGCACAATGCTTATTACCACAAAACACAGATCAAGTTCGAATTTTGGTGGCATCACTTTAACCGTTCTAGAGTTATGCCCCTTAATAAATGGAAAAATTGCAAAATTTTTAGTTTCCGTTCTCTAACTTAAGTTTGCCTCAACCAAATGTTATGAAACTTATACACAATGCTTATGACCACAAAACTATGATCAAGATTGAATTTTGGTGGCGTCACTTAACCGTTTTAGAGTTATGCATCTTTATAAATGAAAAAATTGCAAAATTTTTAGTTTCCGTTCTCTAACTTAAGTTTGCCTCAACTCAATGTTATGAAACTTATACACAATGCTAATTATTACCACAAAATAAAGATCAAGTTTGAATTTTGGTGGGGTCACTTTAACCATTCTCGAGTTATGCCCCTTTGAAAATGGAAAAAAATGCAATTTTTTTAGTTTCCGTTCTCTAACTTAAGTTGCCTCAACCAAATGTTATGAAACTTATACACAATGCTTTTTACCACAAAACACAGATCAAGTTGAATTTTTGTGGCGTCACTTTAATCATTATCGAGATATGCCCCTTTATAAATTGAAAAATTGCAAAATTTTTAGTTTCCGTTCTGTAACTTAAGTTTGCCCCAACCAAACATAATGAAACCTATACATAATACTTATTTTACCACAAAACTCAGATCAAGTACAAATTTGGGTAGCGTCACTTTTATTGTTCTTGAGTTATGTCCCTTTATAATGTTGTATGCAAGCGGGGTCATCATCTGTGTCCATGGGGACACATTCTCCATTTATTTAAAAAGAGTTATGTTACCCTTGAAAATATTGAATTTATGGAAAATGGCCTCGGTTAGCACTCTCACAGGTACAATTCTTGCCAGATTTTTATAAAATTTCTACTATAGCTTAATATCACAAATATCTCGGACAAGTTTCATAATAGTGGCTGATCGACTTTTTTTAAAAGAGTTATGCCCCTTTGAAATATTAAATCTATGGAAAATGGCCTCGTTAGCGCTCTCTCGGGTACAATTCTTGCCAGATTTTTAAAAATCTTATACTATAGGTTAATATCAGCAATATCTCGGAAAATATCTATAATGGTGGCCGATAGACTTTTTTTAATGAGTTATGCCTCTTTGAAATATTAAATTTATGGAAAATGGCCGTGTTAACGCTCTCACAGGTACAATTCTTGCCAGATTTTTATAAAACTAATACTATAGGTTAATATCAGCAATATCTCGGACAAGTTCTATAATGGTGGACGATGGACTTTTTTTAAAAGAGTCATTTATGCCCCTTGGAAATATAAAATATGTGCAACGCAGGGGACATTGGAACTCTGTTCTTTAATTTTTATTTAATCAACATGTGGTTGGTTTGATCTCAGATCTATATTCTTGTCATTGGTCAGAATTCAATTATGACGTCAAATTTTCTTGCTTACCTTGAATTTCCTATTGTGATGTCAGGAAAAAAGGCAGCTATGTCTGATGATGTTACAATCGAAGTACACATCTTTTTGCAGATCATTGGAAAAGCCGTTTTATGTTTGTCTGCATATATATTGTCTAAAAATCTTTCGAGAAACAGATTCCACCACAAAATCTTGTGTAATATGATATTTCTGCACTCTCAAAAGTTAAATTTTAAATATTTAAGTGCTCAGCCTCATCCTTGCATTTTAAATTTGAAAATTTAACTGTCTTGAGTGGAGAAATATCGTATCACACTCGATGCAGTGGAAGTATCTACGTATAAACAATTGTATGAACAATGTATTACAATTTCATTGTTTTTCTGGAAAACATGCATTCATATAAATCCATACATGTATAAAAATACTTTTACAACAGCATTATACTAGTATAGCATTAGTAACATTTAAGTATTTTACAATAATGATTACTGTAAATTTAGAAATTATTGCGTGCAGTTATTATTGCGATTTTGTCATTTTTGACTTAAATGCGATTTTAATCTTTACGATTTTGGGGAAAATCCTGTTTAATTCATACAAAATATTTCAAAATGCGAGTTAAAATTATTGCGTTTACAACTCTGTCGCATTTTTCGCAATAATAAAAACCTCGCATTAATTTCTAAATTTACAGTAATTAGAATTAATCAGGCCAGGTGTAAGTCTTATGTTTTATTATATAAACATTTACATCTATGCGTTTTTACTAGTATTCTGTTATTCATAATAATAAATGGACCCATTAATTTTGGAATTACCATATAATCAAACTTATTTTCAACCCAATGCAACAGATATAAACCAAATGTTCTATATTTGGTTTAATCTATTGGCACGTTGACTTTTTATACATGTACTATATAAGGAAATGTACTTATTTTTAGGATATTGGAGATGGCTGGTGGGAAGCAAGAAATAGCCTAGGACACCAAGGATTGATACCTGAGGCTTATGTACAGGTGAGAATGACCTCAAAGGTCATGTACCTCTTGACATGGATGTCATAAGGACATGATAATGTTCACAAGATCAAGTAAACATTTTAACTTATGTTAACAGGTGCTTGGCATAAAAAAACCCATGTAATGGTTTGTAAAAGATTGATTAAACCATGACAATATAACACTTCCTTGATTAAACCATGACAATATAATACCATAAGCTCATGAAGATTTCACTCTGTATAACATGTATAATGAGTGTATTGTACAGTAATACTGTCATGTTTGTAAATTCAGAAATGTTTTTGATGTTTTTATTATTTCAAGAATTGGAAAAATTAGGTGTCTCAAATATGTAAAAAAAAACCAGTAGGATTAACCATGCACGGCAAAGGGTATTCAAATGGTTAACATAGACTGAACTCACTAAAGTGCTAAAGTAAATGAAAAACTATCTAACCCTATGCCATGTCAGGTTAGTTTCAGAAGTATATTATTACTTCAAAAATTTCTAGACTCAATTTTTTTCTAGTTTCTAGTTATCTCTTATTCTCAATGAAATATTTTCCCTAACTAAGGCAAACAATTTTTTTTTTGATAAAAAACTTTCCTGATTGTTATTTCAAATCTCACTTCGTACGAATTTTAAAATTTGCTTTTAAACGCACCCTCACATCAGCAGATGTGTCAAAGTAGCCTACTTAGAAGTAATTATGACCCTAGAAGTGCAAGGTACAAATGTATTACGCTATTGTCATATTTAAGTAATTAACAATTGTTTGTCCATGTGATACAATTTAGGAAGGATGAAGTAGGCCAAGTGCATGCCATATGTTTATTACGGTTTACATTTACACCTACGATAATTAATTACAGTATAATTTTGTACTACAAAATGTTTTGACATATTTATATATAGATTTCACCACTGCAACAAGTGTGTTACAATATTTCTCCACTCGAGACAGTTAGATTTTAATATTTGAAGCGTGAGGCTTGCAGAGCTTTTTAGATAATTTAAATTTAACTGTTGAGAGTGGAGAAATATAGTAATACACGAGCTATAGTGGTGGAATCTGTTTCTCTAATGATTTTTATCCTTCCTTTTTCAAAGATTTGCGGAAAGTTGTGTCCTTTATATGTGATGTCATCAGGCATGGTCGCCTTTTTTCATGACGTCACAATAGGAAATTTCAGAAGAAATCAAGAAAATTTGACGTCATAATTAAATTTCGACCAATCATTTGCCGAGAACAAATTTTTCACTAGTGAGGAGAAATATTTTTCTCACACCGATCAAGAAATGTGAAAATAGCACAAGAATTAGAGAAATATTGTTTCCATTGTGATTTACTACTTTTCTCCACCCCTGGAGCTTTGTCAGATTCAAATGTTTGTGTGGAGAAGCACCAGGAAGCCCTTGTTTATAATCTCAGCACCCCAAAATATGATTTTTAACTGATTCTTTTTAACACTTAAAGAATTATTAAAGCAGTGGTATAAAAAAAACTAAAACAACCATTTATCAAATTTATTTAAAATGTCTTCTCTGCATTATACATATTATATGTACAGCAATTAGGTAATAAATAATGTAATGAAAATATTAAAGACAATTACAACTTTGAACAAAGAGGGACAAATAAAAATTAGAAGAACCTGAATTCCTTTCCTCTTAGCCATCATTGGCAGCCAACTCCTGCCCACTCAAATCTTACCTCAGGTGTTTGTAGTAAAATTATTGAGTACAAAAGCTTTTCAAGGTTTTATAAGTGCAGATCTCACTATTAAATTGTAGATCATAGTCTTATAGTGAAAAAGCAATGATGTGCCCAATGCATTATGATGGGCATAGGGGACCATCTGGAAGTTTATTTCACTCTATGTGGACTATGGACCAAGAAAATGAAAAATTCCACCTGAAATGTTTTTGTTTTGTATTGTAACAATCCATGTATGAATATATACATCAATGAAACAACAACACATTAAATCTATCAATCACATATTATAATGACACTTTTTAATGTTACATACATATATAAAAAACTGTATTTCTAATGTCTATATTTATAGCTCACCTGACCCAAAGGGCTAGTGTGAGCTTTTGCTAACATTTTGCGTCTGTTGTCTAGTCCTTCGTTGTCCTTTGTCATCATCCATTGAATGTAGAAAGATCATCTCCTCTGAAACTACTGGGCCAAATTTTAAACTTGACCACAATCATTAATGGGGTATATCTAGTTTAAAAAGTGTATCAAATGACCTGGCCTGCGGACAAACATGGCCGACATGGCTAAAAATAAAACAGAGAGGTAAAATGCTATTGTTGGTTATTATCTTGAAAAACACTATAGATAGAGAAAATCTGACCGGGGGCAAAAAATGTTCAGAATGATGAGATGTACCTAATGACGACTTCTTGTAGGGGTAATTGTCCTTAAACCACAACTTTTACCATCTTTTTTTAATTTTTGTCTAAATATTATCTCTGAAATTATAATAGATAAACAGAAACTTTGAATAGCAAAAATGATCAGTGAAACAAGTTCTACGAATTAGTCGAATGGTAGAAATCAGTCGACTCATTATTGGAGTTATTGCCCTTTAGTGATAACTTTTACCATTTTTGTTTTGCATTTTTTGCCTATTATTTTGAAAACTATAAATAATAAATGGAAACTTTAAAAAGGCAAAATGATGAGCAGGATATGATCTTCGAATACGTCAACGTGACATTAATTGTAATTTATAGAGTTATTCCCCTTTAAAGATGATATTGGCTAAAAAGTGGCCATTTTTGAAGATGCAGTTGATCAACACAGGATCTTTAGAGCCTTTAGTTGAATATTGATCGAGTGAAAGTAGTTTGTTAATGAATATATATTATATTTCAGTTGGCAGAACCTCCAGAGCCCTCATTTCCACCCCCTCCACCTCCCCCAGCAGGCCCTAGTGCCCCTCCTGCACATCACTATACATCTGAGTCTTCTGATGATGTGAATGGTTTCCATGACAACCAGTATAATGGAGGTCAAGGTTATGATAATCATGGGCAGACGTTACCACAACAGTCTTCACAAGAGGGATGGGACGATGATGATTGGGATGATTTCGACGATCAGTCATCAACTAGTACAGCTGGTCATGACAACCATGTAAGTTAAAGTGGTACATAACGCTACAGGGAGATAACTCTGTAAAAATCAGCTAAATGTTTTATTCATGGTCTATATTGTTAAGGAAATATTAAGCTTCTTAAAGATTGAAATTAGTGTTTGTCAAACTGCTATAAATCCAATAAAATTTTTCCGATAAAGTGTGTGGTTCAAGTTTTTAGAATTTTTATATTTTTGTCAAAGGTTCAAAATAAATATTTTGTCAAAAATTTTATGAAAATTAAACGAGCCAAATTAATTTTAGTCCAGGTGTTTGGTTCCACCTTAAATGGACGGAAAAAAAGTTGTTTAGAAACATTAACTTTATTTCATCAGGATTGATTTTTGTGGTTTCCAGTATGTGAAAGTACTATAAGGCCAAAAATAAAATTTAAATTGTTTGATGTTGCCTACCTTCCAACCTAAAAAGCGGCCTACCCAAATACATTTTATAATACAAATCGTTTCAAATTTTTTTTTTTGAAAGATTTTTTCCTGCTCTTATCATGCTTATGTTGTTGGCCAAAAAAAAAAATCCCTACCTACCTTGCCAACCCCCCAACCCTACAAGGCATGGTTAGGCAACATCAAACAAAGAATTTTTAAAGGGTGGCCTAACTGAAGTTAAAATTTTGTTTGGGTTTTAGTTTCGTGGATAACAACTGCTCATGAAATGAAAGAAATTAAAACCCTAGCAAAAATTTCTGCTTTTTCATTAGTTTTACAGGGCTTTAAGGCCGTACATTGACCTATAAAGGTTTACTTTTACAAATTGTGACTTGGGTGGAGAGTTGCCTCATTGGCACTCATACCACATCTTCTTATATCTCTTTAATACACTGTAATAAATCTGGGGTTGAAATATAATTCAGTCCAAGGATTGGGACCTTTAAAGAGGGTGGTAAAGGGTTATTTTCGTGCAACGTGTTTTGCCATTTTTATTTCACGTGGAGCCGTGAAAAAGGTTCGTTATTCACCGTGTTTCGTGAAATCGCTGAAAAGATTAACGTGCAAGAAATTTTTGATTGTTCATTCATCGTGAAATGGCAATTTTATTTCGCGTTCTTCCATGCAGATACCCCCCCTTTACGCCCCTCTTTAAAGAATGTTATATAGAAGTCAAATAGAATAGACTATTCGAATAATTTAAACTGTTTTAAAAATTACTATGAAACTAAGTGTTTTTATACCTTTTTTGAAAATAATCATTGAATGGCTGTTATTTTTTAATGGTTACCATGGTTACAGTCTAGGTTTTGTTGTCATTCATTGATTGACGGGCATTATACATGGAATAAATTTAAATAAAGATGTTTATAAGTTACTATGGTTACACACAACAAAGACATACTCAGTTTTCACAGAAGCTGGGCTTTTTTGACAATTTTCAGATGTTTTACTTTAAGTCTTTTACTTTATGGACAAAATCTTAATTATTACTGGGTAGTATGAACTATAGACATGGAAAAATGGAACTCCATTTATGGATTAAATATTACTTTTTTCTATGACTAAGTCTAGTCTTTTATCATGTTTATTGACAATCTTCCTCAGGAAATACATATGAATATAATAAAGAGATGAAAGATAAAAAAATTAATGAAACAGGAACCTAACAGTACATGATATTTTGCTTCCTGTCAAAATGAATATTTCTGGGAAATGGCATAAATTTTTCTGATATTTTATAGTATTTGATTTGTTGGAGTGTATACTGTACTAGATAATATACATGCTTGTTTTTTGCTTCTACAGGATTTACAGGGTCAAGGCAATTTTGGTTTGTCAGTTGCAAAACGAGAAAAAATATCACCAACAGGTGTTCCAGGGGGAGAAAATTTGTCAAGATACGGTACAGTCAGAGTCAGTAGGTTGGTATTTTTTTGCTTCCACCATAGTGGAGGGGGCATTAAGGTGAACCCTTGTCCGTCCATCTGTACGTCCCGAAATTGGTTTCCATTCTCTAACTTTAGTTTGCCTCAACCAAACGTTATGAAACTTATACACAATGCATATCACCACAAAACACAGATCAAGTTCTCTAGTTATGTCCTTTTATAAAGTTATATGCAAGCAGGGTCATTATCTGTGTCCCATGGACAGTTCTCCATTTATTAAACTGAGTAATCATATATCATTTATCTTATTATTTTCATGTTGTTTTTTTTTTGTTACAGAACTAACTGTAAAATTCAGTACAGAAAAAAAACACATTTACCAAAAAATCAGTCTTACAGATGACGGGGGTTTCATTAACTTTTGTGTGGACTGGTACTTTTACCATTTGTAGGTGGTACTTTTACCGTTTGTACTTTTACCATTTGTAGGTGGTATTTTTACCATTTGTAGGTGGTACTATTACCATTTGTAGGTGGTATTTTTACCATCTGTAGGTGGTATTTTTACCATTTGTAGGTGGTATTTTTACCATTTGTAGGTGGTATTTTTACCATTTGTACGTGGTATTTTTACCATTTGTTGGTGGTATTTTTACCATTTGTTGGTGGTATTTTTACCATTTGTAGGTGGTACTTTTACCATTTGTAGGTGGTATTTTTACCATTTGTAGGTGGTATTTTTCTATATAAAATAAGAAGATGTGATATGATTTCCAATGAAACAACTATTCACCAGAGTTCAAATGACATAGATGTTAGCAAATATATATGAATACATTATATAAAATTTCTTTTATTCAGGAAGTTAAAGTACTGGGTACTATCTCTTGATGAAAGACTGAATACAAAAAGAACACATGTTTTAAGTAAAAGAATATTAATTGATACCATATTAAAGAATACTGGCAGATAGTTTGAATATCATACAAGTACTCACTACTGTATATCATATTTGTTCTTTGGTCTCCTATCTATTTACAACTATGTACAAGTAAAACAGATTGTAAAATGCAGCCCATATGATTTTTTTTCATGTCTGCCTGCCCTCTAATGGAAGCCCAATCATGTTCACTCAAATGTTAACCTCATATTTTGTAACAATATTGACAACAAGAAATTTTGAATAGAGAAAATGTTTACTGTTACCATGGTTACCACTGTTCAATTTAATTTCAGATTTTCAAATTTTGCGAAGGCTGGTGGTGAGGCGTTTTTAATGGGGCAAGCAACTCCTCCTGTACATATATCTGAAGGAGATAAAGTCAAAATTATAGTGAGTACCTTATTAAGTTAATTTTGAAATTATTATTATTTTTAGTTAAAGGTAGTATATAAATAAATGAGTGAAATGATAGTTGTTTCAATGAATAAAATTCTGCATTTGTTATCAAAATGACTTATTTTTATGGCCCCGCCACAAAGTGGTCGGGACCATAGAGTTTACCCTTATCTGTCATTCCAACAAACAGTAATATACAGATTTTTTTTTTAAACGTCTTCACATATAGTGCAGAGTTTTAGTATGTGAGTCTACTATGATAAATTACAGATAGAAATTACGTTTTGTTCCACGCCGCTGATTTGTGCTGAAAATTAACAGCTTTGGACTTTGAAAATTTCGTGAAAATAACATTTATACGGACTTTTATTCTAAAATTTCCGCTCTAAAAATGGCTTGAGGCTTTTATTGCAAGGGAGGCCATTTGTGTCATTCCGACACATCTAGTTCTCAATTTCTTTTAGGAAAAATGTACTGTGGATTCATAATTGTTTATGGGATACCAGTTTTTTGGGTATATGAGAACAACAAAATAAAATGCTCTTGAAACAAAGAACACTTTTCTATAGGCTTGTATATGCAGCGTTTGGCTAAGCCATGAAATCAGATATCTAGGAAACTTCAATATTTACTCAATCCATGAAAATTGGCACTGACAAAAGTAAATGAATTCACAGAATTCATAGATAACATTCTAGTATTTTAATTATTTATGGAGATGCAATGCATGCTTTTTAGGAAACAAGGGTACCATATTTAGTTGTGTATAATATGCACCTTTTTACCCCGAAAATATAGTTGGTAGAGGGGGTGCATATTATACACAACTATAGATGGTTTTTGATATTTAAATTTTTGTTTTTATTAATATCATTTTTTTTCTTCATTTTTTTTTGAATATTATTGTTTGTATTTTTAGAAGTAATTAGAAGTAAGTTATATTTTTTTCTCATTTTAGGAAACAAGAGATGGACCTATCTGGGCTGCCACGGAATCCTACACATGTGAAATCAAATCTCCAAAGAAAGAATCCAAACTTAAAGGACTTAAAAGTTTTATTGCATACCAAGTTATTCCTTCAGTATGTTGTTTATTATCATTACCAAGGGAACATTCAAAACTCATAAGTCAAAGAAAAACTGAAAAACACCATGCCAAAAAAATAAAAAACTACCAAAACACAATCAAGTCCAAATAACACTACAAAGAAGACTAAGACTGAGCAACCCCCTCCCCCCCAAACAAAAAAAAAGGAGATGACCTCAGGAAGGATAAGCAGTTCATGCTCTACAAGTGGCGCCTATTGTGCCGCTCGTGCAAGTACAATTCATGGGATTAGTCTCATAACTACAAATACTTCAACAATTCAAAATTGCAGTCACACTGTAGGCCCAGATAAGATGTGAATGATACAACCAAATGTATGGAATTGTCATTTAAGAAATGAATGCTTCTTTTTGTAATCTTATTCGGGTGTAAAAGTGTTGACCAAAGCACATTTTGTATGAAGCGTTTCATTCTGAAAATGTGTGCACGATCAACACTTTTACAACTCTATCAAATTACTAAAAGAAGCATTCATTTCTTGTAATTACATTTTTATGCTAAGACCTTCCAAAAAAAGTTTTATCAAGTTTTTCTTTTATTTACCTGTGCACTTTTTTGTGGAAGCACGTGTCATAACGAATGTAACATTTCATTTTGATATGAAGGTTAATTTTTGAATGACGCGCTATTGTTGTTAGCCAATCAAACTAACTGATTCTGGTGAAAACATACATGTAATGTAATTATTATAAAATATTGAGTTATGATTGATAATGAGACAACCTTCCACTAGAGTTCAAATGAAGTGGATGTAAGCAATTATAGGCAACTGTTTTAATTAGTCTTCAACAATTAGTAAAACCCATACCGTATAGTCACTATAAAAGGCTTTGACATGACAAATGTGAAACAATTCAAACAACAAAACTAAGGGCCTAATTTATAATAAGACAATTTATAGAAAACAAATATGACAGAAATGAACGAACGACAAAAATAGAAGCTAGCAGAAGAAAATTGAAGTCATAAATAGCATAGATGTAGGAAATTGAGATTTTGTATGAAAAATAACATTCTAAGATAATTTCTTTTTCAGTTTAGTAATATACAAGTTAGCAGACGATACAAACATTTTGATTGGTTACACGAAAGGTTAAAAGAAAAGTTTATATGTATACCAGTGCCTCCTTTACCAGATAAAGCTATTGCAGGTAAATCAGTAGTTATCTCCCTTTATTACAGTAAATACATGATGATTCACAGCATAATCACTCCTCATTATTTCATAATTCACAGTTAATGTAAGTGGTTGTTGGTAATTTACTGGGACATATCTGTATCTAGTTTTGGATATGATATTAAAAACAGGATGGTAAATCTGAGTGCTATCAGCTGTATCAGTATGAATCACAAACAATCACTCTAGATCTGTTTCATGTTGAATCACTCCATCACCAACAATAGTGATTTTTTTCTAGATCACCTTGAATGCACTGTTATTTAACAAATTATTATTTGTATCTAAACCACAGATCAGGAAGAGTAACAATTAGCCCATAAACATTGTACAATTAAGTTTCTTAAACACAACAATATGGGAGGAAGGGGAATTTTATATTCTGTGGTTGATTGGCTGATTTTTGTTAAGATTAGCATGAGATGATATTTTTAGATATTCAAAATGTAAATAAAAAAGTATGAAGAAAAAATCCTTTTGGCTTCAAAATAAAATATATTTGCTTTGCTCAATATGTTAACTTTGAGCTGATTTAATATTTATCAAAAAGTTAGTTTTGTAGAAAGGAGAAGGTATGATAAGGCCACCATTGTTGGCCTTTCTGAATTTGAAATTCAAAAAGTATTATGAATTTACTCATTTTGAAATCTTGTTATTAATACTAAGATATAAACTGCAAATTCATAAAACAATTTTTTTTTAATGTTTTATACGTAAATTTTGATGTTTGTGAAAAAATATATTTTGGTAAGGCTGCACTTATATTTAGTAATATACCTAGTTTATTCACAAACTATGTATAAAATTGCCATTTTAGGTCATTTTTTTTTTATTAAAAATTACATAAGTAATGCATGGTGTATGAATCTGTAATAAAAATAGGTTCAACCACAAATGTACAATCATGAACAAAGGAAGATAACTCAAACTCAAATTTTTAACTTATCTAGCAAAATGAAAGGAGTTGGGGCAATAAGACTCTTATTTGGCCCAAATATTAGTGCAAATTGAAAAGTTACCAGACATATTCACAACTTTGTCCAAACGACACAAAGGTTCAAGGTTTTCAGAAAACGAAAACAAATTTCACTTTTAACAAGTTACCATGGCAACAAACTATGATAAAACGTGTATATTTTGTGTAAGATTTTATGATTTTCCTTGTTTTACATCAACCTTTAGGTATATATTAGATTGGAAAAGTATTTTTGTTTTAATGAAATAAGTGCACTTTATGACGTAATTGTGACATCATAACAGCAAAAATCTGATGAAATTCATTTATATTTTTTGAATTTAAGCATTTCCAAATATTATGTGCAATTTTGAAATAACTCTCAAAAACTTTATTTTCTTGGCCAAAACTGGGCCTTAATGCCCCTACTCCTTTAAGATATATTTAAAAAATCACAAAATTGCAAAATGAAAGCAATCTTTACTCTTCAATGCTCACAAGCACTTTGATTTTATTATGAATTTGGCTTTTGATATTTAATCATCTCTGTGGAATAATTACATGTCTGTGAATACTAATTTTTGTGTATTTATTGGGGGTAGGTGAACCACAATTCAAGAATTCATTAAAGTCAACATTTCCATTATGTTTGAATGTTATAAAATGACACGTAGATGTGACAAAATAGAATGTTTCATAAAATCAAGTATCCAGGAAAAAAAAACAGTTTATCCTAAATCAACAAACATTGGTTCCCAAGAAAATACTCTTAAAGTGGAAACCGAAGTTAGTTCCACTTCATTTCCTGGTAAAATTAAAATGCAGGAAACTGTCCTCTGTAGGAATAGTTCCAACCAATCAACAATATTTATTTGAAGGGACAATTTTTATTCAATTTGCAAATTTAATACCTATGCAAAAAGTTTGTGCATTGAAATTGCAAAAACAAAATCATGAAAGTATCCATGGTAACAACAAATGAATCTACAGTTGTTTACATTATGTATAAACTGTAAATTTAGAACTTTTAGCACTGTTTTTACTTTTGCAAAAATTGCGAACAAGATAGGTGATGCAAAAATAAAAACTCATATTTTACATTTGGATAGCATTGTATTCAGAATTTCATGAAATTGCAATAATTAAACTGACATTTGTGTAGATTGTCCAACAATAACAATAATAAGAGCTTACAACAATCTCTGATTTTATAGTACATATTTCTGTCAAATATTTAAATCATCAAATCATAATCATCACGTTTTTCATTACATTTTTCAGCTGTATATAGAAAATCAACAGGTTTGTCTATTCATATGACTTTCAGAATTTTTTTCTTGTTCTGAATAACTGTCTCTAGGCCGGGGTTTATTTGAATTTCAGAAGTATAGCAGAATGTAAATACTTTTCATCGACTTTGGGAAATGGTGTTAAGTTTGATAACAAGTGTGTACCATGGTGAGAAAAAAAATTTAAAAGAAAAGTTTGTTCAGTCCTTTAATTTGGTAACTGATACAAGTTTCATTCAAGATGCATCGGTTTCTCTATGAGCACAAGCTAAAAGTAGTACTTTGCCCCTCACTAATAGCCGCTTTCACTTGAAAACACATCTGAAAATAGGTAGGGATTTGGATTTTGGTTTCCTTAAATCATTATAAATTGAAGTTTGTCACATTTAAAATCATATAATGATTGTGTTCCCACCAATCAAATAACAATACTTCCATAAAAATATTATCTAATAAATAGCTTTAGAAACATTTTCTGTAAAAACTCTTATATATGAAAACATAAATCATTTCATCGCAACTTATCTCCCATTACACAATATTCTAATGTAAATTTTATTGATTTTAGTTTTTCAATGAATGTCTACTTAATTGATTAGAAGGTGTTAAATCAAGTGCATTTTTCGTCATATTTGAATGCAGAGAAAATGACAAGAACTCCCCCCCCCCCAAAAAAAAAAGAAATATTTTTTTTCTTGTATCACTGGGACCTTTTGTTTTTAGTCCCCTACCGATGAAGTCGAAGGGGAATTTAGGTTTGCACTCTGTCTGTCTGTCTGTCTGTCTGTCCATCCGTCAGTCTGGCAAATCAGTTATCCACATTTTTTTTCTTCGTGGTTGAAGATATTGATTTGATATTTGTTATATTGTTTTATCATGACAAGTTACAGATCAAGTTCCAATTTTGTTCCGGTCTGATTATTTTGTGCAGAGTTATGGTCCTTGGACTTAGAAAATTCACTAAATTATTCAGTTTTCCGCAATTTTTTTCGTCATGCTTGTTTAAATTATCCTGGAGTTCAGTATCCTATTTAAACAACCTGTTATGATGTCTTTATCCATTATAAAACATTTGAACATGTCTGACCATTTTTCCTGAAAGAATTTAAGATAAAACATTAACACACTTTATCATTCATTTTATATTTCATAGCTATTGGTATTGTTAAAAACTTGATTGTGTACTTACAGCATGCCTGTGCAATTGTGCTTCACTAACAAATATTTATGATTAACAGAGTCTCGCAGTTACATGTTTTAATTTTCGCTGTTATGAGTTGTTTATTTTAATATTTTTTTGTTATTTAGGGAATCTGGTGTTGCTGGTAGATCTATACTACCCTCCTTTAAGAGTAGACTAGTCCGACAGATAACCAATCTATCTGTCTGAAGGACTAGACTACTCTGAAAGAAGGGTAGTATACCTAACCTAATAATGATTTCACGTTTCAGTTAGCAAGCAAGGTAACCAAAATTGTTGATTGAACCTAAACAACAGGCCATAATCTTGCCGGCGAAATGACGATTTAAGTCGCCAAAGAATTTTGAAAATCGCTAAATCTCGCCGGCCGACTGACTTCATAGCGAAGTCAAATCGCTATCAAAATTGGTAAAAGGGAGACAACTTGTGATTGACAAGTCTCACAGGTAAAAAAAAAATGGCGGCTGACAAGGAAAATCGAGATTTTCGAAACGACCCAGGACTAATACTGTAAACGATCAAATTAAATAAATACAACGGCGACTTTGAACATCCTCGGATATAACTTTCAAAACTGTTGAAACGGAAAACTGACCGTCTGTTTAAGTTATCGTTTTACGATGATTTTCATCTGAGGATGTTGCGTAATCACTCAGCTGATTTGTTTTATTTTTATTACCTACACGAGTCGATCAATTTTACTATTCCGTAGGTAAAGGGTGGGAATTAACGGTAGATTTATTATATTCATTGAATAAAAATTGAAATATAAAAGGTAGAAAGACAGCTGATAGATAATGTGATTGCAAACGTACGACACTCGACCAGATTGTGATCAGCAGTGGATTTTTTCTCATGACCACTTCGTTGATATGGATGATATTTTTAAAAAATGATAGAAATTAGCTCTTTATCGGATAATTAACTTGAGATTGAAAGATATTTTCATTTATAGACTTACAATCTTTAACGATAATCTCAATTTACTACAACTAACATAAATGTCCTGGACATTCAATAATGTTTTAAAAAACAATGACAAGTGGTGTTATAAATTAAATTCCCAGTCATGTGAAATTCATCATATTTTTCTAGAGTTTTAAAAATAAATTGAGGCAGATGCACATGGATTCAATGCATCATAATCTTGATAATATTACTAGGCTACTCCCTCATGTCCCAATCAACAAATTTTATTTAGAACACATTATTTGATATCAATAAATAAATAACAACTATGTATTGTCTAAACCTTTTTATTAAGAACTTTCTATATATACATTGTGTACAATACCATATGAAAAAAATGCAAGTACATCTTTTATTGAATATAAAACAATTTCCTTAGTGATAAGCTTGAAAACACGATGCAACCGAAACGGTAATGGAATCTCACTTCTCCAAGAAGTTGACCACTTCTCCCTTCTCTCTCATGGAAGGAGAAGTCACTTCTCCCTCTTCAAAATCCTAGATTAGGCCCTGTAAACACTCAAATCATTTGGCTGTAATAGTATCCATTACTTTTGTTTACTTTTCTAGACTCAGAACTATAAAGAGCTTGATATTTCGAATAAAGACAGTTTCCAAGTTTTTGAAGACTGTATGTCAACAGCTAGATGTATTTTTTGTCATCAGTTACTATAATTTTTCTCGTTGATGTGTTCTTTACATTTCTTATTCATGAGGATCTGGATGGGGTTTACAGATTAGAGAAAAATGGGCGAAAAAAAAATAATGAATAGAGAAAAATGAGGGATAAAAAAAATTAATGAAAATAGAGTGAAAGTAGAAATTAGATATTTAATATTGATCTGTTAACATTTTGAATAAGAGTTTCAAAATAACTGATGTTGTCTGCAAAGAATTAAAAGATTTCCTGTCTTCTCAATGAGTGGAAGGGAAAGGGGTCCAGAAAAATTTAGAGACCACTGTCTGTAATGAAAATATAGAATAGAAAGAGTCCTAGGGTCATCAGAATTTAGATAAGATATAACTTTTCAAATCCTGACTGATGTTGAATATCACAGACTTTACTTAGTAGCACTTTAAATCATTGCATAATATTGGTTGGCGGAAAATGAAATAATGTTTTTGTGCTTCCTTTCACAGGTCGATACGAAGACGATTTTATAAATGAGAGAATGAAACAGTTACAGTATTGGATGGATAGAATGGTCCGACATCCAGTAATATCACATTGTGATACGTTTAACCATTTCCTCACCTGTACAGATGAAAAGGTAAAAATACTTATTATTTTGGCACTATAGCACCTGTTATGGCCGGAATGATTTGGGTTGTACCACTTTTTGGACTGCCATTGTAATAGAAAATATATGAAATTATGGTAGATTAACTGTATACAGCCATCTTGGATTGTAAAATAGCAGTTTACAATAGGTCTAGTTGATCGATTGCTTAAATCTGCAAATTTTGGCAATTAATGGGTTAAACTTTTATTGGAATAAAGAAAAATAAGTGATTAATTGCATTATTTAGACTGATTTATCAAAATCAATTATTTGTGTTTGTTCGAATCAAAGTCAACTTAGCAATTTTAGGGGAGATAACAGAAACAAACTATTATAATGGAATGATAGAGAATTTTTTTGTTTTTTACTTGTAGGAAAACAAGGTCGGTGACACCATTTTTTTCTGTTTATTATCTTATAGCATATTTTAAAACGTATCTTCTCATATTTTTTTTTTCAAAATTCTTTCTCAGTGATTTCCTTTTATTCTCAATTTTTTTTTTCATGAACAATCTCTGCAAATTTGGCAATTTTGCATGACTTGAAGCTTGAAAAATAACACAGTGATCCATACTTTATATTATATTTTTGATAAAAAATCAACAAAGCTACATTCTGGGAAAGTATAAGAAAATTCTATCATAGTAAATATATACCAATGATCCACCTTAAGCATTTATAATGACATAGCTTCATTATCGCTATTTTCTTAACTTTTGCTTTTATGTATGACCTCACATCCTAATTACGTAATATTGCAGACCCATTGAATTATAATCTTCAGTATTTTTTTGGAAAGAGGTACAGTAATTAACAGTTGCTTGCAAGAATAAAGCATATGGACAAAAGTGTCCATTTGCATAGCTGTTGTCGACACATGTGTGCCTCCTGCAGCAAAAGGGTTAAAAATAACAAGTGACTAATGTTTTAAGTTTTTTTCCCCAAAATGTTTTTGTAAAATAGAAATAAGAAGATGTGGTATGAGTGCCAATTAGACAACTCACCATCTAAGTCACAATGTGTAAAGAATAAACCATTTTAGGTCAAAGTATGGCCTTCAACACGGAGCCTTAACTCACACCGAACAGCAAGCTATAAAGGGCCCCAAAAATGACTAGTGTAAAACCATTCAAACAGGAAAACCAACAGTCTAGTCAGGTTGTTGTCTCTTTGACACTTTCCCCATTTTCATTCTAAATTTAAAAAAAGGAGAAACAAGAAACACTTATGAACCACATCAACAAACAACATCTACTGAAGAATAGTTTCATTGGATATAAAGTTTATATCCAATTACAATTATTTTTGCAAAAGTAACACTTTCAAAGTTTATATTAATATTTTCAGAAATGGAAAGTTGGAAAACGAAAGGCAGAAAAAGATGAATTTGTTGGTTTTAAATTTTTCTATACATTAGATACACCTCGACAGCCACTTGATGTTAGAGATGTGTAAGTTTATAAATTCAGTTTACAAAATTTATGATCAATGTTCTTTTTATGCACCCCCTACAAAGGTACAGGGACGTTATGTTTTCTGTTTGTGCATCTTTTTGTCTGTCTGCTCATTGACTACTGTCTTTCTGCCATTATGTTCATCGGTCTGTTCACTGACCACTTAATGTAGAAATGCGACAGTGCAAACAGCACATGGTGTTCTATGGACGTGTATTCTTATCTCAGTTGTAGAAAGACAGACAGACAACACCATGGCTGAAAAAAGATGTCAAACAAAATTTACATCATCATATTAAATACTGTTCATTTATAGATTATCCATGGTTTTTCAAAAAGAAGGGGTGTTTCTCAGCTACAATCTCAGACAGCCCTGAGATGAGATATGAGTGAGGAACATTGTTAAGTTTGAAAGACCATTGGTAATCAGTTTATCGCTATTATTACCTATGATCTCATTGATGTTTACTTGACAACGGCATGTGGGCCTTTAGTTTTTGACGATAATTTTTAATCTCAAGCGAGTAGCATGATTTGAAAAATTATTACAAAAAGAAGTCAAAGGAAAAATACACAAAATAGCGATAATCATTATTATTCGTTGGATACCAATTTTTGGCGGGTATAGGTAAACCATGATTGATTGATTGATTGGTGTTTAACGCCACTTTCAACACTATTGTGTTTTTTCGTGGCAGTCAGTTTTTATTGGTGGAGGAAACCAGAGTGCCTGGAGAGAACCACCGACCTTCGGTAGGAAAACTGACAATCCTAGTCAATTAAGATTGGGGTCGAGTGCACCTGCCCCGTGAGGGATTCGAACTCACAACCTCAGTGTTGACTGGCTAGTGATACAGTAGTTTGACTACTTAGACCACTCAGCCACGGAGGCCCCCAGGTAAACAATGAATTGTTCCACAAAACGCAGGCTTTGGCAGATCACAAAATCAAATATCGTAGAAAATATAATTGTTCATTGGTCCAACAAAAATAAATAAATCCAGAGTATTAGAAATAATTACCTTTGCATTTTTCAGTGAAAGTAAAATGGAAACCTTTCAAAAGTTTGTTAAAGGAATGGATGATAATGTTAAGAACTTGATATCCGTTTTCCATGATAACAGAAAAAGACACACAGGGCGTAAGTATGAAGAGATAAGTAAAGCTACTCAAGTTATTTTTAATTCTTTTTATTATACGACCGCAAAAAAAATTTTGTGGTCGTATATTGGTATGACGTTGGCGTCATCGTCGTCGTCGATGTCGTCGTCGTCGTCGTCGTCTGGCGTCGTCCGAAGACACATTGGTTTTTCGCACTCTAACTTTAGTTTAAGTGAATGGATCTCTATGAAATTTTACCACAAGGGTCATTACCACAAAAGGAAGGTAGGGATTGATTTTGGGGGTTATGGTACCAACAGTAAAGGAATTAGGGGCCAAAAATAAGCATTTTTGTAACTTCCAGACATAACTTGTGTGTTAGTGTATGGATCTCTCTGACATTGTACCACAAGGTTCCATATCACAAAAGGAATGCTGGGATTGATTTTGGGGGTAATTGCCTCAAAATTTTAGGAATTAGGGGCCAAAAAAGGGGCAAAAAACAAGCATTTTTCTAGTTTCATGACAATAACTTGTGTGTAAGTGTATGGATCTTTCTGAAATTGTACTACAAGGTTCCATATCACAAAGGGAAAGCTGGAATTGAGTTTGGGGGTAATTGCCGAAACGTTTAGGAATTGGGGGCCAAAAAAAGGGGCCAAAAATAAGCATTTTTCTAGTTTCCAGACAATAACTTGTGTTCAAGTGTATGGATCTCTCTGAAATTGTACTGCAAGGTACCATACCACAAAGGGAAGGATGGGATTGATGATGGGGGTAATTGCCTCATTATTTTAGGAATTAGGGGCCAAAAAGGGGCAAAAAACAAGTATTTTTCTAGTTTCAGGACAATAACTTGTGTGTAAGTGTATGGATCTTTCTGAAATTGTACCACAAGGTTCCATATCACAAAGGGAAAGCTGGGTTTGAGTTTGGGGGTAATTTCCCTAAATGTTTAGGAATTTGGGGCCAAAAAGGGGCCAAAAAACACATTTTTCTAGTTTCCAGACATAACTTGTGTTCAAGTGTATGGATCTCTCTGAAATTGTACTGCAAGGTACCATACCACAAAGGGAAGGTTGGGATTGAGTTTGGGGGTGATGAATCATAAGGGGGTTCAAAAAATTTGGGGGGGGATTTTTTTTTTTTTATCCTTTTTTTCCTTTTTTTTTTCTTTTAAAATTTTGGATTTTAAGTTGGTTATTTCTGATTTATATTTAAAAGCAAATAATAATGATATGGTAGGAGATACACACCAAACAGGATGTGTAAATTATTATATAATAAGTATTGTGCAATAGCAAGAAATTTTCAATTGCACAGTATTGCACAATAGCAAGAAATCTTCAATTGCACAGTATTGTGCAATAGCAAGAAATCTTCAATTGCACAGTATTGCGCAGTAGCAAGAAATATCTAATAGCACAATATTGCGCAATAGCAAGAAATTGTCAATTGTACAGTATTGCGCAATAGCAAGAAATATTTAATTGCACAGTATTGTGCAAAAGAAGATACTTCTTATAAATTGCTTATTTCTTGACCAATTTCAATGGGGTTTTATTCTTGAATTCTTGGGGTTCTTTAATATTCTGAATCTAACCGTGTATTTAGTTTTTGGATTTTGGGCCCAGTTTTTAAATTGGTCCACATTGAGGTCCAAAGGGTCCAAAATTAAACTTTGTTTGATTTCATCAAAAATTGAATTATTGGGGTTCTTTGATATGCCGAATCTAACCGTGTATTTAGATTCTTAATTTTTGGTTCTGTTATCAAATTGGTCTACATTAAGGTCCAAAGGGTCCAAAATTAAACTTAGTTTGATTTTAACAAAAATTGAATTCTTAGGGTTCTTTGATATGCTGAATCTAAACATGTATTTAGATTTTTGATTATGGGCCCAGTTTTCAAGTTGGTCCAAATTGGGGTCCAAAATTAAACTTTGTTTGATTTCAACAAAAATTGAATATATGGGGTTCTTTGATATGCTGAATCTAACCATGCATTTAGATTTTTGATTTTTGGGCCCCGTTATCAACTTTGTCCACAGTGAGGTCAAAAGGGTCCAAAATTAAACTTTGTTTGATTTCATCAAAAATTGAATTCTTGGGGTTCTTTGATATGCTGAATCTAACCATGTATTTAGATTTTGGATATTGGACCATAATAGGTGAATGTCCAATTTAAAATTTTTAAGTTCTTAGACCACATTCATTCTGTGTCAGAAACCTATGCTGTGTCAAATATTTAATCACAATCCAAATGCAAAGCTGTATCAAGCTTGAATGTTGTGTCCATACTTCCCCCAACTGTTCAGGGTTCGACCTCTGCGGTCGTATCAAGCTGCGCCTGCGGAGCATTTTATTTTTTTTAAGGCTATTCCATTTAAATGGATGGGGGTGGGTAGGAAGACCTCCAATATCCCCTGACAATCAACACACATTTCATGAGTAATTTAACATACTATAAATTTAGAAAATTTATAGAGCATTTATTATTGCAATTTTGTCATAACAAAACAAAAATCAATATAAACTATTGCGATATAAGGAAAATTTAAAAACCCATGTATGTATCAGATATCAAAATCACATCAGCACTAATTAAGATGACATCAACACAAATTTAGATGACGTCACCACTTAAATGCATGCATTTTTTTAGTTTAAAAAATGTGCATTTATGGAATTGTAGACGCTTATTTAAACTTTGATACATAGCAATGAACTACACATTTCATTTCAGCTCTAAAAAAAAAAAAAAAACAGAAATAAGTAAATTTTTTTCAATAAAGTTCTTTAAAATTCATATTTGATTTAAAACATTCAGCATTTTATATATTTAGAATTAGTGAAAATTTAATTTACTTTACAGTAGATAAATGTGCATTGTTTGCATTTTATGCATGATTTCCTTTTTCTTTGTTTCAAGTGAAGTTATGAGAGAAAAAACTTATAATCATTTGATGAATACAGAAATATGAATGTATGAACAATGATCATGGTATATTCTAGTCTAACATTTTGTAATGATCTTATTTTAGCTTTCAAGAAAGAATTCTCCAGAATTGGTGGTGCTTTTAAAGAAGCAGCAACTACTTTTAACATGGATATAGGATCATGTAAGTCAATGTTAATTTCACCTGCGTCCCGGAAGGCGAAAGCAGGTCTAGAAACTGCTCAACTTTATCTGTCTGTCTGTTAGAAAGACCTTGGGAAGAAAAACCTGCAACATGAATCAATTAAATGCAGCGACACAGGTCCAGACCCTGCATTGGAAAAGAATAATTATATAAGAAATTATATGATTGATTTTACTCAATAACGAAATTTTCGAATTTAGAAGAGCAGACTTCTCAGTCAAGCAGCTTCATTACAAAACCAGTGTTATTCCACCTTGACTGAAAAGAGGCGATTAGAGATTATTGATGTTCTAAACCTGAAAATTCATTGTTGTCCCGCCTCTACAAAGTCTTGGTAGAGATTGGCAACGTCAACATATATGTCAGGGCTGTTCCAAAATTTATTGGGGGTGGGGAGGTGATGGTAGGCACTCAAATTTATTAATTGTGGGTGGTTATGTTTTTCTTACAATTATAAAAGAGTTATAAGTTGAATGAAAAATTTTATATCATGGGTGGTTAGGGTCTAAAAAATTTACCCCTGTATAGGTTTGATTCTTGAACACTGAACAGCCCTAGAATAACTTGCATTTAAGCGTTTTAAACTTTTACCATTTTATTGGTCCAGAGCAAAACAGGGTCCTTATTTATATTACTTTGATATATTCCAATCCTAAAATAAGGTTGAAAGAATATCTGCTTGATGTCACAAATTCGTCCATCAGTATTGGTATTACACATTTATTTTCATTCAAATGAAAGCTTCTACTATTTGTTATCTGTTTCAAATTGCAATTATAATGTCATGATTTTCTTTTAATATGTGAAAGATTTGCATTTCAGCTGATAATACGGGTAAGATTTGATGTAAACCTAAACACAACACATTGTCCCTAACACAAAAAACCCTTGTTTTATTATATATACCCTTTAGTTTAGATATGGTACAATTTGTCATTTTTTCGTAAATGACAATTTTATTTAGAAAAGGAATGGTGCGTGGAAGAGGTGTGGGATACCCCTGGATTTTTGTGAGATGTTGGAATATACATTAAAAGGTTTTTTTGTGAAAAATTTTGTTCACTGAAATATATAGACAAGATAATCCATTGTTGTAATGGGTTCACTGGTTCAATTATGTAGGTTTTTTTTTGTTGTAATTTATGTCAATATATCGGGTTTTTCTGTTTATAACTGTTTGAAAGGTTTTATCATTTATTCTGATTTTGTGTTCCAACTTATCTATATTTTGACATTTCGGAAATGGGGCTTTTCCCTACAACGGTACCTTCAGTGAAAAGCTTATTTTAAAGAAGGAAAACTGCATATATATTAATGTAAAACTAGTTTGGTAACATCGTTAATAATTAGCTAACCTCTGGGATGCTTTTAAGATAACTTGTGATGGTGACTGGTGATATTGGCTCTAAAATGTTGTGCTTATGAAAGAAAAATTGGGAGTTAAAATGTGTAGTTTAGGAATTGCAATAATTAATGAAAATTTTGTGAAATTTGTGTTTTTGAATAACAGTTATTGGTATAAAATGCTTGAGCTTTACAACTTATTTACTGTTTTTGAGGTTACGATGACAGACTTCACAATTTATCGCAAATAAAATTGATGTTTACAAAATTATTACTTTTGATTTGAAACGTCAAATGTTTTCATTTGTGATGCTACATAATTTCCTTCAATGCAGACTAACCCAAAATTGGTTTATAAATTTCAAAGTAACTTTATAAAGCAACTCGTTATCATAAGAGATTTGAAATCAGATGAAACCTTGTTTTTAATAATTACCTGTAATGAAATTTTCATTATTTTGTTTTTTTTTTATTTTCCTTTGATTTTCAGGACACACATTTATATTATATTTATCTTTAGAATGACACTACATTTCAATTGTTGTATTTAATAGTGCAGTCCTATGAAGTGAAGTCTCCAAAAGAGAACTGTAGACCAAATTTTCTGATACTTTTTTTGCATCCAGTCCCTTTTAGAAAACTTCAATGAGATTAGGATAAGATCTAAGTTTGACATTATCATGACCGCTTAATATTGTCATTATTTTTAACCTGAGAGAGTCACCCAAATGAATGGCTTAATAAAATTAGTTGGTTTAAAGTATTTCAGATAAATAGGAATTGATTATATTTGAAGCTGTACAATCTCATCAAAATTCAAAAAATAAATCTAAAATCTATTATTTTTATTTCAGATTCGAGGGATTTAACAGCTGCAATAGATTACACAGGTGATACATACAACCAAATAGGTGAAATGTATGCTAAACAACCTGAAAAAGACATTGATCCCATGCATGACATGTTATATGAATATAAAGGAATATTGGCGGTGTTTCCAGATGTTTTAAAAGTTCATGAGGTAGGTTCATGGAAAAAGTAACAAACGGTGGCAGAATAATGAAGGTTTTGAGCAGTTCATATGCAAGGTTTCAAATCAAAATTCTTTTGTGAAATGAAGTGGTATTTTCCCATTTCACAATCATTTTATAATCTGTTTGTCTATCTGTCTTTCCATATTCTTTGAAAGTGCAACTCCTTCTAAAAGACTGAAGGATATGGATGAAACTTTGCACCATTCAAAAACACAACCAGATGATTATAATCTTAAGTTCTACATGTTAAAGAGGAGATGATAAAATTATTTACTTCAATGCTACAACATCTCCATAACAGCTTGATGTATAATGCTGAAACTTTACTTAGTTGTAGAATTCTGTCTGTGGGTGTTATATTGGAGATAATAATAAATTTAGGTAGGTTTTTATCCTGTTGCGAGAACAATTACTGTTCGATGTATAAATGAGTCAGATATCATTTTTTTTGCACTTAAGGGAGCATTTAGGGGAGCTACAGAATGTGTCAAGCTTAGAAAAATATTATGTTTGCATTTTAGGGAGCATTTAGACAAGAAAGTGAGTGCATCAAGCTTAAACACTTTTTACCTTTACATTTCAGGGAGCATTAAATAAAGCTAGAGACCATGTCAAGCTCCCAAACTTTTATCTTTACATTTCTGGGTACATTAAGTAAAGCTAGGGACTTTGTCAAGCTCCTAAACTTTTATCTTTACATTTCAGAGAGAATGAAGTATAGTTAGGGACTGTGTCAATCTCCTTATCTTTTATCTTTACTTTCCAGGGAGCATTAAGTAAAACTAGGGACCATTTCAAGATTCTAAACTTATATCTTTTAATTTCATGGAGCATTAAGTAAAGATATGGACTGTGTCAAGCTCCTAAACTTTTATCTTTATCTTTACATTTCATGGAGCATTAAGTAAAGCTAGGGATCATGTCAAGTTCCTAAACTTTAACCTTACCTTCCAGTGAGCATTAAGTAAAGCTAGGGACTGTTTCAAGATTCCAAACTTTTATCTTTACCTTTCATGGAGCATTAAGTAAAGCTAGAAAATGTGTCAATCTCCTTAACTTTTATCTTTATCTTTACATTTCGTGGAGCATTATGTAAAACTAGGGATCATGTCAAGGTCCTAAACTTTAACCTTATCTTCCAGGGAGCATTAAGTAAAGCTATGGACTATGTCAATCTCCTTAACTTTAACTTTACATTTCAGAGAGCATTAAGTAAAGCTAGGAAACATGACAAGCTCCTAAACTTTATCTTTACATTTCAGGGAGCATTAAGTAAAGCTAGGGAATGTGTCAAACTACAGGAAGATGGGAAAATGCAGGAGAACGAAGTGACAAATGTGATACAACAAAGTGACATTATATCGTACGGTACTATGGCCGAGGTTCAAAATTTTCAGAGACAGAGAGTAGCAGACTTTAAACATACTATGCAAGTGTATTTGTCAGGACAAATAGAATTCTACAAAGAGGTAATGAATGATTTTCCATTTGATATACATATCTATAGTTGTTTGTTTAAATAGCAACAATTAGCAATGCATGCATCCTTGGTTATAATTGTAAGAATACAGATTTTAGTCATTGTTTTTTTTTTTGTCTGCCTCTGGGACTCATTTCACAAAAAATTTTACGACTAAAAATACTCATAAGTCATGAAAATTTCAGTATAACTTATGATCAATTTTAGTTTTAAGATATTTTGTGAAAAGAGCCCCTGATCAGTAGTTTGCATGGATTTTAATGGCAGCTAAGAAAAATTTACAAAATAAACAATCTCTGACATGTGATTTGGAAACTAAAATTATATTTATATATTTATTTTATGAAATAATACATTTATTACATAAAGTGTCTTTCACATCCTTCTGTACTAATACCTATGTTTTTGTAACCTCAATTCAAACCTTAATTCAAATCTCACCAGTTTTAAAACGTATTTTTTTTCTGGTCCTAAGGGTGACCTTTATGTACTGGTTGACTGTATTTATATTGAATAACTATGCAGTTTCAACATTTGATTTATATTTCAGATCACCAAAAAGTTAGAAGATGCACTTACCCATGTGGACAAGTCTTAGCTCTTCTCTGTGCCATATTGTGTTACAAGCTTACACTAATTGCATTATCTCCACTTGCTGCGGGCTCAGATATGTCATAATGTAGAAATATCATATATCTACTCCTTCAGGACTTTTTCGATGCCAGCTGAGAGATATAATGAACTGGCAGAAGAGTAAAAAAACTGATTCCATGAAGGTTAGGATTCTATACGAAGTTATCAGTGATTAAACAAATGATTCCCCTAGTAATCAAGAAAAGAACATCTTCCTCTATTGCAGATAAAACTCATCAAAATCATTCATTTCTGCTGTTAAAAACTTTTAATTGTGTAAATTACTCACCAAGTGTCTGTCATATTTGTATGTATGAAAGATTTATTCCATAGTACAGCAATGGTTTATTTTCCAATTGCCAACTTTGTTTCTAATTTTGAATTTTTGGCTAAGGGAAACAACTCTTAGGTAGACAAACTGTATCTCTGCCTGTAAAGAGCAAGTGGAAAGAGCAATGGTGGGTGTTGACAATAAATTTTACTTGTTAATTGCATTTTACATTTATTGTATAAATAGGATTACAAAATTTGGGATTTTTCAATGAAAATTCATAACAGCTGAAGTTTTAATGTGGAGGGATAAATTTGTGTAGGAGTTGTTCCCCTTTGCAAAAATAAAATCTAAAATTAGAAACATGGTAGATAATTAGAAAATTGACTTTTTATTCACTGCATCTGTTGTAAATTCAATATATTCTCAGGACAAATTATATTTATAAATTATTATGTATGAAAACACATTTATAATTGTAATATTTTCTTAAATCTATTTAATACATATTTTCTTGTTAAATTTACTTAACCATGTTGATTGTTGTTATAGGTGTCAATTTAAAGGGATGTATTAATGGTCGGCCATTTTGTACAAAAATGAAATTATGTATTTATGGTCTGCCATTTTGTACAAAAATGAAATTATATATTTATGGTCTGCCATTTTGTACAAAAATGAAATTATGTATTTTTGTTAACTGTTTCAATCTGTTGAAATTTTAATACCAAATCATGAACATACAATGTCTTAGGGTCTTAGAAAGGAAAACGGGCTTTAGGTATGTCCAGTTTCTGGGTTAAGAACATGAAGGGATTGTAAATAAGATTATTTATTACGCCCCACCTACCATAGTAGAGGGGCATTATGTTTTTCAGTCTGTGTGTCCGTTCGTTCGTCTGTCTGTCCGTTCATGAGTCTGTCCCACTTCAGGTTAAACTTTTTGGTCAAGGTTGTTTTTGATGAAGTTGAAGTCCAATCAAGTTGATACTTAGTACACATGATCCCTATGATATGACCTTCCTAATTTTAATGCCAAATTAGAATTTTGACCCCAATTTCACAGTCCACTAAACAAAGAAAATGATAGTGCGAGTGGGGCATCCCTGTACTATGGACACATTCTTGTTTATGATATTTTACTAAACAATATTCTGTTAATGACATTGTGGTAGATAACTAGTGTAGCCACACTTAGTGTTGATAAGCAACTCCATTGCCATAGGTTATCTTGAAATATTAGACTTGTTATTAGACCATTTCAATTTCTTATTTATGAATGAATTACAGCGGTTGATTCAAGGTCAGTTGCTGTAAATGATGTCATTGAACCATGAACATTAACTGTGAAGCAATAACATAAACATTGTGACACGTGTAAGGGAAAATTCACTAATTTGAAAATCTTTATAGTTATTAATGATTGTCAAGTTGAAATTCAGATTAGCCTCCATCCTATATGATATATGATTGTATGGCAGATCAGCTTCAAATTTTGAACAAAAAGTGAAGTTTTTGTACTAACTTTGTAGGCCAATGTAATAAAATGATTCTCCAGTGGTTATCCTCTTTATTTCAATACTCAGCAAGGGGTTTCAAAATATTTTTGACCACACATGATGTGGGTCAAATTGTCTTGCACAAGATAAGAGTAAATAACTCATTTCAAATGCTGTGACTTTTAGCTAATTTATTATGCTCTCATGCTATTGGTTGATTCTATTGAAAGAGTGTCTTTTATGCTTTATCTGTTCTTGGGAGTTTTACACAAGACTATCGTCTGAATAAACATGATAGAAACAAATTCTCCAAACTTGTGAACAATATTTCTCAACTCTTAATAGAGTAATACCATATAGTTTTTCTTTTTTTTTTAGAAAATGAAAAATATCAGCTGTCAGTCATAATGTTGAACTTTTTGTTGGTTTAAGGAGTAAAAATGATGAAATAATTGACTGTATTTTTTTTTGAAACTATAAGAAAAGGTACCAAGGAAATATTCAAAAAGTCAATATTTCATTGACCCAAATTATTACCTGTTTCTACAAATCAAGTCCATTTTTTTTTACGATGCCTATAACAGTCTACTTTACTTGGTTAATTATATGCATATTAGTTAATTCCTGACAAAAGTTATTTACTTGTCTATGATAACTTTATACTGTTCAGAGAAATCCAGTACTTTTATTATAAATTATCTGTTTACAAAACTTTACATTTTTGAAATACTAAGGCTCATCTACCTCAGGAATAGATTACCTTAGCTGTATTTGGCAAAACTTTTAGGAATTTTTGGTCCTCAATGCTCTTCAGCTTCGTACTTTATTTGGCCTTTTTAACTTTTTTTTATTCAAGCGTCACTGATGAGACTTTTGTAGACGAAACGCGCGTCTGGTGCAAATACAAAATTTCAATCCTGGTATCTATGATGAGTTTATTATAATATCCTGTATACAGGAATTAATACAGGAATTTAACAGATTTTATTTACACTATTCTTATTATTATAGTTATATACATTTTTGTTTTTTTTAAAGTTTAGTAGTACATATTTGGTTAAGATTTTTTCTAGAAGTAACAACATGTAGCTATAGATTATTGTACCCAGGAATTCTATACACGAATTAACACATTTTAATGTATACAAGATCTTTTTCATACAAGATAGAGAAGTTAACTGTTTTTATTGTACGCAAGATTGGGAATCATATATGGATTCTCAGAAGCAGCTCAAAGTATTTCCAAGTATTGTGGATACTTTATTTGGTACATACACTTCATTTGAAAATACCATTGAAAATTCAAAAGTGCACAGTTGTTTATAAGTATTCCAACTGTAGATTTCAGTAGTTTTCAACGTTTAATAACGATCCATGTGATGTCTCGTTTTTGTTCTATGGATGTACGACAACATTTTCAGGATTGGTCATCTATAATTTCAAAGCTCATAAATGTTATCAGGCAAATTATCAGACTGGTTCCTAGACTGGTTGACAATTCATTATATGATTACAAATCAGCAGTTTTACTTGCTTGCAATTCAATTTTAAGATAAAATCTTATTTCCTGTTTGTAGTAATTGCTTGGCAAAGATTTTGTTAAGCTCAATATGAAATGCTTTCCTGCATCATATACATTTTGTTAAAATTGACCTTGAAATGTTAAAATCTATCTTATAAAGCCTTAGCTCTTCAATGATATTAGCACTAATGGTATAACCTTTTTTCACATTTGATTTACCAAGCACAAAACAAAGTCTTTAAACTAGTCATTTTGCCATTATCTGTAGATTTATATGCTGTAAATTCAGAAATTTTGACATGTTTGATTATTGCCAAAATTGCAGTGGGAAAGGATTGCAAAAATTAAACTTGCAATTTAAATTTGATAGCATTATTTGCATGTATGCAGCATTTCTTGAAATTGCAATAATTTATCTTGCAATTTTTGTTTATTGTTTAAAATGCATGCAAAAGTTTCTGAATTTACAGTATTTATATATTAAATATAATAAGCTGTATACTAGTGCTTTGTTAATACATTGTTTAAGTTTGATAAATATTTATGTTATAAGAAAGAATCAAGGTCATCACATGTTTTACAAATATATTTGGATTATAAGATGAGAAATATTTGTCCTGTTTTCATTTGTCACATTTTCCCTGTATATTCTATCAAAAATCATCATCCGCTTTACTTCCTCACAGATTTATATTATTTATGCACACCAAATTTTTACGGTATAGCTATACAGTTCCCAGAAGAACTTAACAATTGTGAAAACATATGACTAATGTCTGAATATCTGAAGGATGATGTGTGACAAGTTATAATACTTTGTGATTTTCAGATTCAAAGGTCCAAATGTAGTCTTATGATAGGCCTATTTCAGAATTAATTGTGTGTGTGGTGTGTGTGAAAGGCACTTAATATTTAAAAAAATATGGGGGTAATTGTATGAAAAGGGGTCTCCAGAAAGAGATTAAAGGCCTTTTAACACACACATCCCCCTTTTACTTAATTTCTGTATAGCCCATACCTTCTCCTGTGTTTTGTAGTGTTAGAGAAATCCAGCCAATGGAAAAATGCTCAGATGCTAAAAGTGTTGAGATGAAACACATCACTCTGTATCCACACTAATTGTGGTACAATGTATTACTCAAATAATTTTACCTGATTGACTGTGGCATTGATAGCTATATGTATTTTTATATTTTCAATTAAAGAAAAGGTTATAGGAATGCAAAATTAAAATTATGTAATTATGTCTGCATTGGGTACCAGTGTAAATTATGCCCAGTCAGGTCAAAATCAATTAGTAATTGTAAAATAATTAATACTGTATTTTTTATTATTTTTCTTCAGAAGAACAAGCAATACAGCAATGAATAAAATAATTAAAATATAATATAAAAGATTAATTGTGATAAAATATTTGTTGTATAATTTTATTTATGAATTCTGTTATAGTTTAACAAAGTATAGAGGTCATTGAGATCATGTATTTCAGAATGAAATGTTTTTATTACTTACAGCTTTGTTATGCTTTGTGTCTGCTTGTCAAGCAAGCATGTTTTTCTGCATATTGTAAAAGTAATTGAGAGGGAAAGTTTGTTAAAGTCTTCAGGGGGAAACAATAAACAATCAAAAATTTTAATTGGTTGTTCAAAAATGAATGTACTTTATACATAAAATTTAAATCTCGTTAAAAACATTAAGTTTATCAAAACTTTTTGTTAAATTAATATTTTACATTTTTTTATTAGTAAACAGCCTACAGTTTCAACAGCTCCTTGACATGTAAAAAATAAAACCAAAACAGCTTAATGCAACTGCAGAACAGCATTAGTGATCATTGTACATGACACCAGATGATTGAATCTTCATCTTCTCTAAAACCTGCCAAAAAATTGATGATAATTTCTTTTCCACTATTTTTTACTATGTACTAATTAATGATTAAGATTAATGAGTACTAATCACTGACTTAGATTAATGAGTACTAATTACTGATTAAGATTAATGATTAGTAACCAATTCTATACAATTTTATATATTAATGCACTTCTGTTGAATACTTATAATTTTTGTAGTTTTGTGGATTTAGATTTAAATCCTCATTGAAACTTTCACCCTTTTACTGAACAAACTGGAATTTGTTATGCATTACCTGTGCATGTATATTCACATTTGCAAAACTTATGTCAGTGTGTGATTGATTCTGATAATAGTGTGGAAAATGGAAGACTAAATGAGAGTGAGATAATTTCATAAAAGATTAATTTGCACACGTTAATTATACAAATCAAAACAAAATTTACTTTTAAAATAGATAAGATGAAATAAAACAACTCTTTTATTGTGAAACTGTAGTAGCAAATCATGAGGATTGTCTGTGGACAGAATTCCTTTCTTAACAGATTTTTTAATTCATGTAAAAATGAGTTTGAAACAAAACTTTCAGTGATTTAATTCTATGACCTCCTACTTTCCAGAAGTTCCTAGTTCAAACACTTACTAATACATTGGGCAGGCCCATGTTATTTGTTTGATGGTTATATACTTGCTCCCTACAAACGTTTGTGCTATATTTTGTAACCATTCTTGTTAATGTGCCTGTGAATAGGCCTCTTTAATAATGAATAGATTGTTTCATTCTTGAAATATTTTATTGATATCTTGAATAAAGAAATTTATATGAATTACTGAAGTGTCTGTATGAATCTTTTAATTAGCCAAGTTGTTACAAAGTTATGCTTATATGATCATGATGTATGCCTTCCAGATGTCTGATTGTCAACTTTTCAGTTTCAGGACAAAATCTTTAGGGCCATACACAATATCTTAAGCCAACTTTATTGGATCAAGATCCATTGAATGAAGAAGAACCCTATGCATTTTAGAGCCAATCTTTTGTTTCCATGTTATATCTTTAATAAAGGCTGACATTCACCAAACATAGTCTTAAGAATGTCTCTAGGAAAGAACAAGGCCGATGTCAATTTCACTTCAACCCCAAAAATTAGTAATCGACTAAAAATGTGTTTCTTCTACTACACATCCATAAAATATAACAACCCAATTTGTTATTGATGGTATTACTTATTAGCCGTTAAAAAATGGCAGAGGCTATTCCTCTGGCTAGCCAAAAAACAGCAAAAAATGTTTATTCTTCCGGCCATCCGGAATAATAGCTTTTCTCTGCTCTTATGCTATAATTCCGGCCATACATAACAATGAATAATGAATATGATTTGGGTTTAGTGGTTATTGTAGCATGCAATGGAGAATGTAGTGGCAAACAAATTCCTCTCTCATGCAAACACTGAGATTTGGAACTATTCATTTTTTTTTGCACGTTCTCCATGCAGAGGTTACTGATTATAAACTTAAGATAAAACGTTCTGGAAAATAGTAGTAATGAACAAAAATAAATAAATAAAGAAGAATTATCATGGGAATAAACTCCTCAAGTACAAACTTTGATTTGTTTTTTTACTTGCTGTTCTATGGAACATGCCGATTCACCGTAAATATAAACTGATTATTTGTGTGAATTTTCTAAGTCCAAGGACAACAACTCTGCACAAAATCATCAGACCTGAACAAAATTCGAACTTGATCTGTAACTTGTCATGACAAACAATATAACAAATATCAAATAAATATCTTCAAGCACGGAGAAAAAAGTGTGGAAAACTGATTTGCCGGACTGACGGATGGACAGACAGACAGACAGAAAGACGGACAAACCTAAAGTCCCCTTCGACTTCGTCGGTAGAGGACTAATTAAAGTCACTTGTCAAAAAAGTTTCCATTCACTAAAAGTATGCAAATAAATTTACTTCATAGTATACAGCATATTCAGATTTTTTTTTATCCTAATGGGGGTAGGGGGAGCATGTCTCTCCTCTTTTTTGTGTTCTACCTATGAATTTCATGCAATGCAAGGTCATAAGTTGGGTTTATGGCTTCAATGGACATCTATGATTCTTAAAGGAGATCCTGAATTTATCATTTCCTTGAACATTGGTTCCAATAAAGTCGTCATTTGATTTTGCATGATTTTTAGGCAGTTAAGCTGCCTTATGCGAGCACCCTAGATTTGTGTTCTACCCAATAAATACTGAAATACGTGCCACTGTTATTATCTAGCTGGCTATTATGTTATTTATAACTAATTGGACATTTTTTTAATACTTTTATTTCTGGAATACAAAAAATATGACCAGAAAAACCTTAAATGATCGTCGAACTACCCAAAACTTTTGAAGTTGCACATAGGAAGTAGTGCTCAATAGAAATCCGTCCGTAGTTTATTATCCCCTGTGCTTTTGGCTACGATGTCAAAGAACAATTGTATGAAATATTTCATCGCCGAAAATCGGTAATTACAAGTCGTTTATATTTCCCAAATGGCAAAATGCGCAGGAATATTGTTCATGTACAACAAATCTGTATGATAGAGGAAATAAAGTTATATAAGTGGGCGGTAATTTTTAACTTATCTTGCCAAATAAGGTTGTTGTTATTTTATGAAACGAGGTCATGAAACAGATGCGGAAATCGACGTTGATGGAATGTTTTAAGTAATGTGGACAACTCGTCCCCGAGACAAGTCGGACCGAATCCACTCAAACCGTCTAAGAAGACAACTTTGACCGTTTGTCAGATTTACTTAAGATTTCATAAAATATTGGACTAACATGTCTAGCGGAGCCATTAATCTTTTGTTTGTGCATTGGGGTCTATTTAGGGGTATTTGGAGGGGCCTGAAGAAGGGAGGGGTTTACTATAGAACCCTATGGGATTTTATTTTTTGGGGAAAATGACGCTGTCAAAGCGTCAATTTTACTATACCATTGATAATTTTATCGCTTCCGGTCGCTTCCAAGCCGCCTTCCGAACTCGATTCCGTATTTTACATACCTATGTCCTGTACAGAATTTCATTCTTACCTGTCCATATGTTTATTGTTATTAAATGGTATTTTGAGCTATCCCTTTGGTATATTTTTCATATTTATATGAGCTTTCGCTTTTATGTGCATGACTTTCCAATCCGTAAAAATAATTAGAATATAAATAGATCTGTATTGTTATGGTTTTGTACTTTTTACATACCAGTGATAACAAATCGCTATTGCTAGAAAATAGTTCTTGAAAGAATGTGTACCTTTCTTGTCAGCTGAACTTTGAAATCATTCAAAAAATAAAGATCAGAATCATCTTCAAATCATACGAAAGATAATGGTCTTTATCAAGATTTAAGAAGTTTTTAAGAATCGAAAATTAGTAATACGGTTATATCCACGCGGTGCGTATGTATTTGTTTACAAAGTTACTGCTGCAGACATAATAAAGGTCAAATATCGCAGGGGCCAGTTCTATTAAAGAATAAATTGGCGATAATTGCAGAAGTTTTTCTGTCAAAAAGACTTCATTTCTTTCTGGATTTCTTCACTTTAAAAAGAATTATACGATGCAGAAACTTTATGAAAGGAGTAGGCAGTGCTCAATGAATCATACCAAAAGTATTTAAGAAAAATTTTACCCTTTCTCTGTCAACGTGGTCTCGTCCATTTTTGAAACATTACGATTATTTCATTACTTTTTCGAGTTAACACTGAACTATTGAACCTGTATTGTTTTGAGAAAAGCATTCCCGTTGTCCAGGTGTTCATTACAAGCCCGTATTTTACGATTACTTTTACTTGCATCGCTATTTTCAAAATCGGATACAAAAATTTCTTGAACATAAATAAAAAATATTGAGATTTGCCATCCACTTTTCAATAACTATTAATTAAATATTAATTTAAAATCAATGTTAATTGTGGATGACTTTGATAAGGAATGGCATTTAATGATTCCTAGAGATACAGCAAAATGTGTAAACAGGAAGTTGTGAAGGGAGACAATTTCATTGGGCAAAAGTGCTAAAACATGTATTGTTTAATCTTGTAAAATATTTCTGGTGGCAATAATTCACATATTCATAAAATAACCAAACACAACTTTTAAAGGTGTTTGTAATGTTTCAATTGGCAAACATTTATTTATTGATAATCCACCTTTAATAATAAAAAAAAACTTCTTGAAAAAAAAGAGTTCTATCATATTCATCTTGGAATATGATCAAATATGTTAGCCTATTTTAAACATGCCTTTAATAACATTTCAGTACTTATGGAAAGAGTTATTCCATTTCTTCCTTTGATGTTAAAGGATATACCAATTTTAATTGCAAAATTGTAATTCGATAAATGTAAATAAAAATTAATGAAGAAATTCCAATTTTGTCATTGTAAACCTTCTTAAATATGTGTAAGTAAATTATGAAGCTGTAAAGGATATATAACTAGTTTATAAGTCAAACAACTGAATGTGAGAAAAAAAAGATATACCTACTGTGCTACATTTGGGGACGGTTGGTAATAAAATCAAATTATTTAAGTTATCTATGTATAGGCATTTTAATTTTTAAAGTTTAATTAATGATTGAAATGTCACTTATTTGCATTTCAGTTAATGCACATGGCACATGTATAAAAAAATCCAGGTCTTTGTCTATTCAATATAATAAAACTAACATGGTAGTTATAAATAAATGTAACATCAAGTCACAAACATGAAACTTAAGGTGAATCAATCTTAAATCGGGCGCTAATACCACAGCGCTATAAAAAAATCCTGGGGAGAACACTGGATTGTATTGTTTTCAGAGTTATATAATACACCTTGCCTAAGAAAAGGTCTAGCTAGGTCCTTATAAAAAATGAGGCTATAATGATGTAAAGTGACTTATAACTGTCAACAGCCACATTATTTAGACTCTGGTGGATAGTTATCAGACTGTCATCTCATTGGCAATCATGTAACCACATCTCCTTATTTTAGTACGGGTTATTTGTTTGAAATAAATGACTCACAAACATTAAATCATTTGAAAAAAAGATAATTCTGCAATAATTTATGTTGTCATTTAAAGATTTGTTTATATATAGATAAATATAAATATCAACAATGAAATTTGGTTGTATAAATGGTGTCACTATATTTGTAATTGTCAAACTAGTATAACAATACTATTGTCTAAATCTACAGAATTTGATCATCCTTTAAGTAACAGAAATAACAATGTCACTAAGTCACTTGTAAGTTATCTCTTAAATAAGGACTATGTGGGGTATAAGAGCTTGCTTACTGCAGGCCGCTCTTCACCATCATTTTGTTAAATAATTCTACAAAGAAGGGGATAGTCTGTTAATGTATCCTTGACTAAGAATAATGAAATTGCAAGAAACAAATTCACATATTACTTTGAATATTGTAGATCGTTCAGGTAGTCTTGAGCTATTTATTTATACAAAAGAAACAACCAGTATATAAATATAGTCATGATACACCATTGTCCCAGGTTAGAGGGAGGGTTGGGATCCTGCTAACATGTTTAACCCCTCCACATTCTGTATGTATGTGCCTGTCCCAAGTCAGGAGCCTGTAATTCAGTGGTTGTCGTTTGTTGATGTGTTACATATTTGTTTTTCATTCTTTTTTTTTGTACATAAATTAGGCCGTTAGTTTTCTCGTTTGAATTGTTTTACATTTGTCATTTCGGGGCCTTTTATAGCTGACTATGCGGTATGGGCTTTGCTCATTGTTGAAGGTCGTACGGTGACCTTTTAGTTGTTAATTTCTGTGTCATTTGGTCTCTTGTGGAGAGTTGTCTCATTGGCAATAATTCCACATCTTCTTTTTTATATTCACTTCACACTTATATATATATTTATATCTTGACAAACAAATAAAAAGCCATAGACATTGAAAACAATTCATTTCTATTCTATTGTCAGTCAGCCTACCTACCATGAACTGAAAAGTCTCTTCAGATTCAGTAGGTAAATTATGTGAAAATCAAGACTTGCATAAAAAATATCTCAATATTAGAGACAATGGCGTCATTTTTCCTCAGAGCTTTCAGCTCTTTGATTAAATTTTCAAATGACTATTTCTTGAAAACAGTAAGTGATAGACACATGAAGTCTTCAGTAATGAGAACAGGACAATAATAAAATTACCCAAAATATAGGTTGAGTCCCTGGGGGTCATCCCAACCCCCTTCAATTTGAAAATGTACTTTTATCTTGTAAACCTTCGCAATGCCCACCCCTAAACAATATATATACTTGTATGGGACAATAAAAGAAATCAAATGAAAATAATTTGGGGGAGTCCCCGGTGTCGTCCCACCCCCTCCTGTTTGAGAACTTGGAAATGGTCGAGATCCCCACCCCTAAATCATATATATTCATGTATGGGACAATAAAACAAATCAAATGAAATATATGGGGAGTCCCTGGGGTCACCCCAACCCCTCCTGTTTGAGAACTTGGAAATGGTTGAGATCCCTACCCCTAAGCCATATACATTCATGTATGGAACAATAAAACAAATCAAATGAAATATAGGGGGAGTCCCTGGGGACACTCCACCCCCTCCTGTTTGAGAACTTGTAAACAGTCAAGATCCCCACCCCTAAACCATATATATACATGTATGGGACAATATAACAAATCAAATGAAATATGGGGAGATCCTCGGGTCACCCCACCTCCTCCTGTTTGAGAACTTGGAAATGGTCGAGATCCCCACCCCTAAACCATATATATTCATGTATGGGACAATAAAGCAAATCAAATGAAATATAGGGGGAGTCCCTGGGGACACCCCACCCCTCCTGTTTGAGAACTTGTAAACAGTCAAGATCCCCACCCCTAAACCATATAAATGCATGTATGGGACAATAAAACAAATCAAATGAAATATAGGGGGAGTTCCTCGGGTCACCCCACCCCCTCCTGTTTGAGAACTTGGAAATGGTCGAGATCCCCACCCCTAAACCATATATATTCATGTATGGGACAATAAAACAAATTGAATGAAATATTGGGGGGTCCCTGGGGACACCCCACCCCCTCCTGTTTGAGAACTTGTAAACAGTCAAGATCCCCACCCCTAAACCATATATATACATGTATGGGACAATATAACAATCAAATGAAATATGGGGAGTTCCTCGGGTCACCCCACCTCCTCCTGTTTGAGAACTTGGAAATGGTCAGGATCCCCACCCCTAAACCATATATATTCATGTATGGGACAATAAAACAAATCAAATGAAATATATGGGGAGTCCCTGGGGTCCCCCCACTCCCTCCTGTTTGAGAACTTGTAAACGGTCGAGATACCCACACCTAAACCATATTTATTCCTGTTCATCATTTCAAAAAGATTTGAATGACATACAGGGTCAATCTCCTAGGTGTCGCATATGCATATCACTTTACTAGACCAAACCAATATGAACTGGACTTTGCCCAATGTCAGGAGACCATGGGAATGACGAATTATGGGGGCTTCGTTTGGGAGACTTCGTAACTGCATCCTGTTACAATTATTTCTTGTTTATTATAAAATTCTATTGATGCAAAAAATGAGTCTAGGTTAATTAAATTTACTTTAATTATTTATTAAATTATTTCTGGGCCTATAATAATTTTCATTTATGACTCATTTTAAAGAAAACATATAAATCTTTCAAGCAGTGTAAAGCCCGAGAATGTTTGACCAACTGTTTTATAATCACCTGTCATTTTATTCCAAACTTGGTATGGAGTAACATCATGTACTTGGGGGTGAAGATGGGGGTCATTTACATTGATATATGAGTTGCTTTTGAAAACCTTGATGAAATATTAATTAATTTGCCTTAATAATCAATTCATTTAATGAACATAAATGTACCATATACGAATGTTTAATGTTTGTTCTTTCAAATCTTAAAAATAAAATTGAAGCAACACAGCCACAGTTTTCATAATTACGTTTGCCTTGGTTTTTTGTTAACTGCCTACAGCGCTTACAGTGCTTTGATTTATTTAAAATGTTCGGTGATTCCTAACACATGGAAAATAAGAGAAAAGGGTAGGCACCTGTAAACTGCCCCAACGTAAGATTGTGTTTTTGATAGCAAAACATAGTATTTTTTTTATTGGGTAAATAAATCAAACAGTATAAGATAAAAAGGGGGGATGGTTATACCCCAACCCTGGTATACTATTCCCAGTCCAGGCATATCAGTGCATTTCATAAATATCCGTTGTAATAGAATTTAGAAATAATGCGTCTTAGCAAATTTGATTTAGTCGTTTTTCTGTGAATTGTTTGTATGCATTTTTCCTCCATTGATACAGGTAAAGGGCAATTTCAGTTTGATTGCATGCTTTATTCCTCTCAGGTTACGTGCACACGCTATTGGTCTCAAGTCTGTTTGTTTTTAAAGCAATCAAAGTCTTTCTAATTTTCTTTAGGACATCTTTGAATATAATCACGATCTCCAATTCTCAAAACGTCCATTGCATACGCGCGTTTGCAATCCGACACCTCATCCGGGACAATTTCCGCGCCACATGACTGCTGTTGATATTTAACATTTGCGCATGTGCAAACGGATGGCCGGAAAAATAGAGATTTTTAACTATTATTCCGGCTAGATGAATAACTTCAAGATAGTATTCAAGGGAGATATTTGGTAAACATCAATGTGACTGCAACTAAAACGCACAAGAGAAGAGTTTAAAAAAATGAGAAAGATCAGGATAACTGGGCGATAGTTCTTGATGGGGGTTAAAGAATGGAGAAGGACCAAAACTACAGAAAAATGGTGCAAAAAAAAAAAGAATTGAGAAAAATATTCCAAAAAATTAGGAACAGAGAATAATTGGGTGCTAAAATATAAAGAATAGGGAAAGGGGGAAATGAAAAAGAATAGAGATAAATTGTCGAAAATTTGAAAGAAAACATAATTTAAGACCCCAAATCCAGACCATCATAACCTTGCAACAAATCATAGGGTTTACAACATGCAAAGAAAAAGTTAAAAACATAAAAAGCAACCCCTTTAATGCATCTTACTAATCAATTATGTAGTATATATTTGTAAATAGAGACTGAGACTTGGAAGCTTTGAGTACCACCATTGTTCTCTATTGATGACAACTTTTATTACATGTCATGTATATACGTCTCAGGTAAGGACAGAAAAAGCAAAAAATGGAGATTGCTTTTCCGGCGACGACGATAATGAGGACGATGACGGCGTGAACAACTGTTCAGTTTTCTGCTCCAGTTAGTTTAATAGGTGATAGACCAATGGTATTTTGTATTAAGTTGTATTACTATCAGTACATATCAGTTTGACGATTATTTGAGGCACTGTCCCCTAGGTCATGGTCCAGTGACTGAATTAATAAGAAATATTTAATGTTAATTTTATGCTGTTAGGCGAGATATATCTCAGTGTCAACGTTTTGTTATTGTCACCTGCAGTTATTTTTACGCGCAGAATTATATATTCAGACAGACACTGATTTAAACAAATCTTTGATTTGGGATCAATCTGTCAGATAGGTTTAACCATGTAAAACATTGACATGTTAAAACTTCCAGTTGTATTGACCAATACACCAATCTCGAGTTTCTGTTTATGAATGAGTTACACCGGTTGAACCGAGATCAATCTGTGTAAATGACATAATTGAACGATAGGTTCTTACTGTTACTGAATAACAATAACATTGTGACATAGGAAATGTACTGGTAATATTTGTGTCACCAGAACCAGATGCAAAATAGAAAAATAGAAAGAAATGACATAGAAAATGAAAGACTAAAGAAAAGAAGGACCCCATCCAAACCCTAAATACAGGGAACTATAATTGTAAAACTTCGACAACATTGATTTCTACATATGCAATTGCTTTATAGTCTTAACAAGTCTGATAATATTATTTTCCATCTGTGCTAACAAAATTGCTATAACCAATATAATGAAAAATGTTTGTTGCTCTAAATTTTTCTCACATTTACTAATATGACCTGTTTTATTTATCATACCAAATACAAATTTAAAAGCCTTAAGCAAGCTTCGTTTATACACAAACACTATTTGAAATAATTTAGCCAAATTTTTGCAATGTATACACAATAAATGTTTAAAAAAGCGAAGTTTTAATTCATTATTAATTATAAAAATATACTAATCGAAACAGTCAAAGTAGGAAATAATTAATAACCCGCTTATAAAGGTGAACAAGAATCTGATTTAAAAAAAAAAAAAAAAAAAAAAAAAAAAATTAAAAAAAAACGAGCCATATACATGATATAGATAGAACTAACTAAAAAATTGACAAAGTGTATATTCAAAAATATATATCAAACAATATATAACAAAATTGATCTTGTTAACAAATAATGTTATTCCTTTATGTAGTCGTGACTGTAGTAGGTAATATTTCTAGGATTGAAGTGTAGGAAACAGACGGTTAGCAGACGGCGCTTTAACGAACTTGTTTATTTTCTTGAAGTCTAGTAAGAAAGGTTAACTACAGCGTTTCCTAAATATATATCCAGTAGTGATTTATACGCACTGAATCGAAAAAAATCATAAGCCTCTGTCTCTCTAAATTCAGTCTTACCATTTGACTTTAATGCTACTATTTATTCTTTTCGCGGTTAATAATCGGCAAGGATATATATATTTAATGTCTTGCTTTCTGACTAAATTTTTGTTTCAAATTGGTTCCTGATTGTTTATGTTCTGTTGCCAATATCTGAGCTTGTCTGTCTTTCTTCCTGACTAATCCGATGGAATCAGATGGATAATTCTTAACCGTAATCAAACCTAATTTTTGGACATTAGTAAAAAGATCCCGTATTGTAGCATCTATTGTATATTCTAAGTCTAGTTTTTCTATTTTCTTATCAACAACCAAAGACTCAATGCATTTCTCGTTTTTAGTAATCTTTATTTGTAGATTTCTCATACCGAGAAAGGTTTGTATATCGGAAGCATACTTCTTCATTTTTTCAATTTCTGTGTTGCACTGAATAATCTCCTTATCTTGGATATTGACAGGGGAAACAATTGATTGCATCTTTTCGCAACATTCTGTCTCTGTTTTGTTAAGCTCTGTAATGAAATTATCTTGTAGTTTATCAAGGTGCTGATTTATTTGGGTTCTAAATTGAATAACCTCTTCGACGATTTTTTTCTTTTTGTCCTGTATCATCTGTATGTTAGTCCTCCTGTCTTCTCGGATTCTACTGATATTAACTATCATATCCTTTAAGCTTTGTTCCATATCTCGGAATACTTCTGATGATTTTACATCGCGTGCAAGTTCTTCAAGAAGTGTCAATCCACCGCAGTTTCCATGCTCATTTATACATTTGTAACAAATAGGACATTCGTGTTTTACACAGTATTGCAGGTATTTCTCATTGTGATAAGTGCAAAATAAGTCAATATTGACGATGGAGGGAGGTAAACAATTATATTCAGATATAGAGATTACACGATGACATCGGGAGGATTTCGATAGACTATGGTGCTCTTTACAGTTAGTACATAGTGCTTCCTCGCATTCCGGACACCAATGTGTAGACGATGTGGTAAGATGCCGGAGATCGCAAATCGTACATAGTGATGTTTTGGTAGCCATTGCTGGTAGTTCTGATAAAACATAATAAAAAAAATTTTTGTTTGCCTAAATAATTTGATAGCTAAAATTAGTTATAAACACAGTTTTTAATTATCTGTCCAGTGCATTGAATTTCTTTCATTTCAAGGAGCTAAAATATTGATGTTTACTCTTTTTTTTAAATACCTTTATAATTAACTATAACAAATGATTAAAGGTAAGGCAAAAGCACATGCCGAGGACTAAATTTATGAACGGAGTAATCGTTGTAGTCTTTGTTTTAGACGAACATATGTTGATAATTGACCTGAATAAAATGGGATGGTAAACATAAGTGAGACAGTATATGAAACCAAGAGCTGTACAAGAACTAACAGTCCATAGCAGATAATGTACTTTTATAGTTAGAATTGATTTTAAAGAAATAAAAAAGATATTAGGTAAGCACCAATTAGACACAACATCAATGATACAAATAAATTTTGCCAACAGTAGTGTACCGATGTTCATAACTTATAAATCGCTTAAGAAGAGACAAATTAAGGTAACAAACAGAATCCGAGGGAATCAAATAATCTCCAAAAGGAACGACGTCGAGTGCGGCGACTTGATAAGCGCCTCTTGCTATGCATGCATCATCCGGCATGCGAATTCGTACTCAGTTCAAAAGTCACAATCGAGAATAGGACACAATCGGTAAAAAAGAAATCAGACGACTATATATATTGGTATCTAAAGATCTAAGACCGCGAACACATGTCGCTAGTGAATTGAGATACCGACAAATTTTATCGGTCAACCAATTCGTGATGGTGACCGTAAAACTTACGTAGTATCGATTTCAGTCGTTTTCTCTCTTTAACTATTTAGAGCTGTTTTCGCGTAAGGACGTAAAGAGCACTCCCCAGTACATCAAATCAACAACTTATAGTGTTCAGAGGTTGACATGCATAGATATTCAAGATGTATATCATCATGGTATATTTTTCATTTGAAGCCTATTAATAGCATTTTGCTGGTTGAAAATGTGGATATGATTTTCATTTCCTTCCGAAATATTTTAATGTGGTATATTCAACCAGATGTGGATTCTTGAAAATTCTTAATATATGCTCTAAAATCTTCACTGAAAATCTTTACAACTTTGCAGTTATATAAAAACCATTTGATTTTTCTACTCCTTACACTACCATTTTCTATGCTCAGTTGAAAGATGGACGAATTCGTGTAAAAAAAAAAACTTTTTTAGAAACGTAGTTACAAATTACTTGTTTTAGGTCAAGAAAAAGTTTTCTTTGTGAAGGACCACATTGATAAAAGGATGAACGTTTTGATCGACAACATATTTGTTGAGTTTGTTGGATTAATATTTCAGCAGACAGTCGGTATTCCAATGGGTACTTATTGTGAACACTACTGGCCTTCTAGCCTTTGTACTCATATGAAGCAAAGTTCATCCAGAACTTTCTCAACGACAAAAAGAAGGGCATCTTGCAAAGTTAATTTTATTTCACTTTCATATATGTTGATGATGTTCTGACACTAAATAAAATACATTGCAATGAGTGCTTACATCTCATGTATTACAGTGAACCTAAGATTTAAGATTCGTCAAAAACAGAAGGTATTCGTAATTTTTTTTATCCTTTCCTCGATATTGGCACAAATGGACGAAATCAAACTAGAATCTATGACATACATGATGATCTCAATTTTCCAATTGCCCACTTCCCATTCTAAGCAGCACAAAAATGCTGCATTGTGTGGCGTCTACATATCTCAGTTATTAGGTTTCACTCGTACATGTTCACACTATATGGACTTCATTAACATGGATGTGCTCCTTACAAAAAATATGTTCGAAAATAATTCGGAGGAAGAACGACTGAAATCGACACGACATAAGTATTTGAGATCACCATCACGAATTGTTTGACCGTTACGATGTGTCGGTGTCCAGACTTACTAACGACATGATTTCGAGCTCATGTATATCTAAATATCAACATATCTATAGTCGTCTTATCTCTGATTTTCCAGATAATGTTCTATTCACGATTGTGTAACATTTTAAATGAGTTTAAAAATTCGCATGGCCGATGTTATGAGTACATAACAGGTGATGCTTACCGGTTTTGCTCCTTTTGGAGTTCATGATATCAACTCAGATTTTCTTTAATGTCTTTATTTGTATCGTTTTAATCAATTTACGAGATGTGAACATCGATTTACTACTGTTGCCTTAATGTATAGAATAAAAAAAATAATGATATACTAGTAATGCGCTTTTAAGTTTTCTTGTGACGAAGATTTTTCGGTTCCTAAAAATATGTTAATAAAAACTATGTTCATGAATCGAAAAGACATAATTTTGACCAACAAGTGTGTATTCTTTTTTATTGAGGATTTAACCACCATGCAGTTTTGAATTGACTGGTTGGATTTTGGAGAAACAGGTAAAGAAAGGAAGGCAAGTCACAAAAAGTAGTTGTCAATTTTTGTAAAAAAATAATTCCTCGTGATAACGTGTATTCCTTAGAGGATAATAACCTTTTACACTTTTACCCAAAATTGTCATGGTTACTCAATAATAAGTTTTCTAATGTAGCGTATCTATATCATTGTTTGTATGTTCGTCGTTCTGCTTTTTGTCCGTGGTATTGTCAGTTATTCTTCAGTTTTTGATTTTTGAATCTGCATTTGATATAATTTGGCCCCTTTTTGACTAACTATAGCAAGCTTATATTTTTTTTTCACTTTTGTGCTGTTGGGTTGCTGTCTTATTGACGTATATACAATACTTCGACTTTTAATTCATATAAATATTTAGTTATTTATCCAAACAATATGCATTGAAATAATATAATGATACAAGATAGTTTGACAAAGGCCGGTGATACATTTATATGCAAAGCGATATGCATGTCATTTCACCTTATGGTCTGCACTTATATAGACACTCCATGATTGACAAATATTATAAGCGCATCTCTATTATATCTATTTATCGGAAATCAAACTTATGTATATTTCAAAAGTATAAACAAATAAGGAAAACTTCTTACATTAAACAAGGAAGTCTGTTGCTATGGAGGTGCTGTGTACATAACACAGGTAAGTATATCAATGTGGAAGATTTTAACTAATTATACCGATAGATCAATACACACGTTTTATCTGGTTGAAATGAATGAAATGGCTATGCATATTCATCCTTTCATTTAATTTAACTTCCAGTAGCAATGATGTTGATTATTTCTTTAAAAAAGGAAGAGATAAAGTTTTTGAGTAAACTCAATTCGTCAACATAAAAAAGATACTTAATAATAATAATAATAATAATAATAATAATAATAATAATAATAATAATAATAATAAACATTTAAGAATAATACTACAAAGTTTGCGCAAGTCATGAATTGAGTTGGGTGAACCGGATAAAATAGATCACTTACGTAAACATATTAACGTTAAATTAAATAGAAGTAGCAATATTCTTCAATAAGAAAACATCTCTTGTACTTAAAATGTAAAATTTCCTAAGGCTTTGCAAAAATCAAAAACTCTAAATTTTCATGATAGTCTTGTTCATTACATTACCGAATATAAAAACCTATAAAAAGTATATAAAGCAAATGAAAATAATGGAATTTACTATATAATTTTGGAGTATCAAAATCTTTTAATGGGTTAGATAAATTTCGAGCTTTTGATGGTCCGTTGAAATCGGTTGAGATTTTTGCGTTTTCGACTCTGTACACTTCACTAACACCCCAATCTTATTAAACAGAAGTTCTCGTATTTTATTAAATTTTCCTTTGAAAAATCTGTTTGCTGGATTTATTCGCTACAACTCATATTAAGCCTTCTTCTTTGATGAAGAAGGGAAATATGCTAGATATATTACTTGAACTGCGATGAGATGATGATTAAAGCTGTAAAATTTCTCCATGACAACATCTATCTTCGTTTCGGTAAAACGTGATCCATCTATACTACATTTTATTGATGAATAAAAAACCACTTACCGTTACGTTGATGATATTATTGGTTAAGTTTTATTGCAAAAATTTACCCAAAGGAACATACTTTTAATATATCTAATACTACAGCAACGAATATTCCGCACTAGATTTAAACATTTCCTTTTTGGACGTTGATGTTTTTTTAGCCACTTCTTACTGTGTTCATATTTGACAACTTGTTCGCTTTGACCGTGATTGTAGTCACATTTTAGATTTCAATGAACGCAATTCAAGTTAACTGGTAAATTATCAAGCTAAGGATTTCGCTAACACAAATTTATTAAATCTTTACTAAATTCTTTCAGAGATACATAAATTTGGTTAGGAAGTTTGCACTACCAGTAGAATTCGTATTAAAAATGGTAAAGCACTTCCTTATTTTTACGTTGATGTTGTTGATAGAGCCCGTAAATTATGATACGATACATGTAAACTCATTGATTCCTTGAATAAACTTAATCTTTAGGTTTAACACAGTAATCGTTACTTACATTGTTTTGTTTGTAAAAAATTGAGACATAACAATATTGCTTTACATGTATAAATAGGAGAACTCATGACCCTACATCCTGTCGACACTGTTGACTTATATTTTGGCATTGCACAAGGTCATGCCTTTCTCAGACTGTTTATGCCGTCTTTACACTGAATTCGTTGGATTTGTATTGAGTTAAGCCAATTGCAACAAATTTTACAGTGTGTTCTGTTATTGTGGAGTTACACCATTGGCCCAAGTTAGGGGACTGTTAAGCGCTCAGCAATATGTTTAATCCCAACTCATTCTTTTTATGCTTGTTCATTGTCAGGAGACTGTAGTTCAGTTGTTGTCGTTGGTTCAGGTTTATAACGTGTTTTGGTAAATTGTGTGTGTTGTTATAAATAAGGCCGTTAGTTTTCTTGTCTGAATGCATGGTTTCATATTTTTTATATCACGGCCTTTTATAACTGAGTATATGGTATGGTCTTTCTCATTGTTGCAGACCGTGCAGTGTACTATATTTGCTTATATCCACTTCATTCTAACTCTATTGTATAGTGGCTCATTGGCAATCATGCCATGCACATCTCACTATTTCTATATAGGAAGAGACAGATCAAGGTAACATACAAAAACTTAGGGAATCGCATGCTCTCACGTTTACAAATCTTGCTAGATTTTCATGAAATGTACTTTCAAATTCTACCAGCAATATATCGAACATAATCGAAAATCAATTTTAAAAGGAGTTTTGTCCTTCGAAATAAAAGGAAAATTAAATTGTAGTATTTTAAGCATCCTTTTTTGTAGTATTGTTTTTGGTTTGAACGAGATTGTTATCGACGCTGACAGATTATTTTGCAGCAATGTGGTTTTCGTACACTCAGTTAGATACTAAGTATGTGTAACCTTAAATGGACATGCAGTAACACAGAATGAGAGAAATATCCATTGTTTTTTTTTATGTCGCTATGTCTTAGGTCTAAGTCATAATTACTACAAAAAACTTTATTTTGTGCAGAGGAGGGGTTTCCAGATGTTAACTCAAATAATTCATATTCGATTACAACTTTGATTAAACATTTGGTCACATATAATTATAGGACAATAACTATTGATTTTGAAGTGACTAGGTTTAAGCTCAAGGTCAAAGTAATTAGAAATAGCTTTATACTAGATGCTATTACTGTCTGAAATCATAGTATGAAGACAAAACTACGCATTAAAATAAAACCCCATCATTGATACCAGGCTTATAATTTTGTATGCCAGATATGGGTTTCGTCTCCAAAAGACTTATAAGTGACGCTCGAATCAAACAAGGTAAAATGCCAAATAGGTATACGAAGTTGAAGAGCATTGAGGATAACAGATTCCGAAAGTGTTTGTCAAATACAACTAAGGTAGAATAGAAAATTGAAACGGGGAATGTGTCAAAGAGACATTAACCTGACCTAAGAGCAGACAACATCCCAAGGCCAGCAATAGGTCTTCAGTTCAGCGAGAAAATCCTGCACACGGAGGCGGGCTTCAGCTGACCCCTATACTAATACAACGAAATGGACGCCACACTAATCTCTGAAACATACAAAAGTAATCTATTCATGTGGGTGGAAAATCCTATAGTTAGTTTTTCGAACACTTCAAAGTTTTGTAAACAGCTAATTTATTAATATTACCATATCAATGATAAACTATAATAATATAAACGATTTTGATTGTTCTCCTAAAGTCCAATTGAAAATATCCCATGGTATACATGACGAGAATAATTCAGTATTATAGATACAACGGAGGGCGAATAGTTTGTTTTTCATGAACCAACGTTTATCCCATGTGTCTCTAACTTAAACTATTGTTCTGATGTCTTTTCAAAATTAAAGCCTTTTCTTAATTAGAAGGTATTGTGAGTGAGTTTAAATCACCATGTTATCATGTTCAACAATGCATTAATAAATCAAAGTTCACAATTAATCAGATAGAGAAATACAAATATAACATAAACATGACACGTCTGTCTTTAGATTAACGCACGTTTGTTCACTACTAAATTACTGTATTTGTATTTGCATTAGTAAGTTATTTTTGAAATTAATCATATTCTAATTCATATGTAGAATATAAATTTAATTGCAAACGACTTTTAAGTTTTGAATCACTTGGCTATATCATTGGATCAGATTATAATGATGGTAGAATTCGGGGTATCCGGAGATGACCATTGACTCACGGCAGGATAACTGGCAGTTCTATTCAGTTAGTATCGTAATTGAACGCACTAAGCCACGAGTTAGATCGACTTCATAACCACAGTGTTGAATATAGTTGATCAACAATATATATCGTAAGGTAAACTTTTAAAGCAATCCCTTTCCTTCACGTTATATGAAAGTCAAACAAACAAAATGAAAAAAAAAACACAATTAAAATGCAATAAAATCACATAGAAGGTATTACTATATGTGCTTTTTATCTATAGTGTACTTTTCGGTTTTGTCTGAAATTAATATTTGAATAGCAAATGTGTAATTAGCATGACAAATATAATATTTGGTTAATTTGTGTAACGAGATTACTTTCATCATTGAAAATATAATACGAACTTAAATAAACATTTTGTTTAAACATGTGATAGCGTGTAAATTAAAAAAGAGAAAGCAACAGAAATGAAAGTAGTGTAACTCAATTAAAATATTTCTTACAGAACTTTTTTCTTGAATTAGATTTAGAAATAGGAAATGCTATAAAGATGAGCAAAGCAGTCTTCGTTTGTTACTAACAACTGCTTCCTAATGTTGTCAAAGAAAATTGAACTCGGTTTTGTCAGATCATATTGCTTGGTTTGTATCTGTCTGTATTGCTTTCCGTCAGGAGATATCACCAGAATAATACTAGAATCCATTATTAAGACAAAAACATTCCCTTTATCGTCTACGGTAATTCCTCGAGGTCTTTGTAAAACGCTTTCGTTTTTGAACTCCCACAATGGGACTCCGCTATATGAACAACAAGTTACCGTATTTTTTTGTAAATCAGAATAGAGAATCTTGCCATTATGCGTTGCAATAGATGAGTAAGCCGACACGGCTGTGTTCGGTATAATGGTATTGCTAAAATCTGTACATGATATTACACGTATGTCTTTACAACAGCAAATCAAAGATTTCCCATCGAAAGTAATGCCATAAGGTGTAGAGGATAAGTTAATAATCTTTTTTCTTTTCTTGTGGTTAAATCAGTAATGATTACTCCTGTTTTCCATATGAATTTCCAGTTGTTATGGCTACTGTTTTGTCGTCTACACATGCTAAATCGTAGGAACTATATAGTTCGGAAAAGGGAATGGTATATTTATTCTCACCATCTGCATTCAATGCTACTAATTTCTCGCTATGATTTTGATAATCTGTGAAAATGTATCCACCGTTGACAGTCACGCAACAATTTTTCTCATACCAAGGAAGCCTTGTATATCGGAAGCATACTCCTTCATGTTTTCGATTTCTGAGTTGAACTGAAGTATTTCTTTAGCCTGATCATTTAGTGTTGAAAAGATCGATTGGATCTTTTTGCAACAATCCATTTCTGCTGTTTCAAGTTCCA